TCTCATACGATAAACTTAATAAAAATTACTGCAATCTATTGAAAGATCTCAATATGGATAGTCTCTCTGTACGCAGACAATTGTTAGATCTTTTATTCCTTTTCAAGTTAATTCGTAACGAGGTCGACTGTACCTGCTTACTTAATGAGATACACTATCGTATTCCAAGGAGCAATGCGCGCACTTTTCTAGGTACCTTTCATATTAGAATGTCAAAAACTAAATTAGGAAGTAACGCCCCTATGTCTAGATCATCTCGGCTATACAATATTTTAAGTCAAGATCTAGATATTTTTAATAACTCTGAAAAGACATTTCGTAAACGAGCGCTGAAAATATTGAGAGATGCAAATGAATAAATAAATTATAAATGTTTAATTGTTATTCGTATTAATTTAAGTTTGTATTATTTTCAATATTTTTAGTAATTTTTATGAATGAATTTACTTATTATTATTGTTATTGTTATTACTATTGTTATTATTATTATTATTATTGTTGTTATTATTATTATTATTGTTATTATTATTATTATTTGGATCTTCTTGATATAATTATATAATAATATATTTTTAAAACAATGTGATCGTTGTGGCCACTTTAATAAGCTACACATGGTACCTGTTTCCGTTTAATTGTGTTGTATTCGAAGTTTAAACATGTAGTAGCTGCTAGTGGCCCTCAAAATAAATAAAAAAAAAAAAAAAAAAAAAAATGTTAAAATATATATTGTGGCTTTGATTATAACCGAATTATTATAAACCTTAATCAAATGGTCATAAGCAATATTATTGTACTTTAAAGTAAACGCATTTTATTTGATTTTTTTAATATCGGAAGTATGAAGAAGAATTTATAGATACATGTCAATGATCGTATCTTGTTTAATATTAAATTTACTTACAATTAGTATAGTTATTAATTTAAAACAGATGCCTGAAATACATTTTCCTTTATATTAATCTCACTCATAGCGTCAGCATAACATTTTTAAATCCTATTCCAAGTAAATAAAGTTCAATTTCCATTGACAGTACTAGCTTTCAAATACATACGGATTGCAAGGAATCGATGCAATCACGTGATATGTATTTTTCAGTATGTTTTTTTTTTTTGTAAATATAAAACAATACAGCCGTTCGATATAAACGGTATTAATTTAGTTTCCATCAAAACCAATTCACTTTAGCAACACGCTAAGAGCTATTTGTAATAGATTTGATGGTATGGCGTTCACTCAACAATGTAATGACTATAATACGAAGTGAATAATTTAAAAGCTAATACTAATAATATTATAACTTATCAATTATAATCTTATATATAAAATTCTCGTTTCGCGGTGTTAGACAGAGAACTCCTCCGAAACGGCTGGACCGATTAGGATGAAATTTTGTGAGCATATTGAGTAGGTCTGAGAATCGGCCAACATCTATTTTTCATATCTCTAAGTCATAAGGGTGGTACACCGTTAATTTATTTTTATTTTTGACAAAAATTTTTGTTTTTTTTATACATTATAATGTCGCATTAAAAAATACATACATACAACCCAAAATTTTTACTTTTTTTATCACCAACCCCTTTTTATTATATGACAAAACAACGTTTACCGGGTCAGATAGTATTTAACTAACTTAGGTATAGCAAATTATTTGTACACAATATACATTAAATTGGTGTGATATTACTAAAACATATACCAACAAAATTGAATATGACTATTTTTAAGGATTTTTTTTAATGAATGGCTTCATTCGCACTGGAATCGTGGAATATTCTGCCAATGTCAAAATTATTATTGGACGAATTATCTTGAGTACTGTGTGGAGGAAACACGAAGGAGTTTGTCGAATGGAACAAATTAAGGATAATTTTAAATATTTTTTATAAGCAAACAATATTACAACTTATAATATTAGGTCTGATTTCTAACGCGTATGTTAACGTAAATTACGAAAGTTAATATTGAGAGTAATAACGTAAGAATCATTTAATTTCTAATTCATTCTTTCTAATCAAATCACATTATAAGGTTTGAACCTTAATATTATTGCGAAATAGAAAAATTATGAATACGTAATATTATTAAGCCGGGAATAGACTAGACTGTTTCACAAAATACTAATGCCCAAGTTCTCCTACAACAATAAAATTTAATATAAGAATAAGACGTCGTCTTTTTACTGAATTATGTTAAACAATAACAATTTTCATCTCAAATTTTTTTTTTTTATAATCTGTTATATTTTATAATAAAACGTTTGTTTTGTAAGTTAATTATCGGACTCATTAAAAAGCTATTTGTTAGTATGTGAACCAAGGAATTGAGCTCCAAGTCTTCGCTAGTAGGTCAGGGTCTATTGGATTAGTTCCTTTGGGGTCAATGAGAGGAACTACATTCTGAATTGTTAGGATATATAGGATATATTTGTTACTATTATTCGTCTTTGCTAAAATCATGTAATATCGAAACCTTCTAATCGAAAATTGCTAAGTAATTCGATAAGAATATATATTCCATATGAATATATATCTTGACTAGTCAGTCAGTGGTGGCCTAGTGGTTAAAAGGCCCGCCTCTCATGCGTGAGGGCGCGGGTTCGATCCTGGCAAATACCGATGAGATTTTTCAGAGTCATATGTACTTTCTGAGAGTGTTAGACATCACTGATAAATTCATTTCCAAAGAGGGTTGTAAAAACAATTAGCCAAAACTATTCACAACATGTAAGGCAGACCCTAGCTAAAGCTGTGAAATTGCCAGGTAGAAGAAGAAGATATGTCTTGACTAACAATCGAAAAAGGTTTTATATGTTTATATTTAATTAGGCATCAGTAAATAAGGATGCATATGGTAAAAACATCGCCTAAAAAAATTCGTTACATAAATGCAGATGCATATCAGCCTTAAAATATATAGTAAAGAGGTGAGATTGAGTACAAAAGGATGTTCTATTCCTTGCTCGGATTTTAGACACAGCTTAAATAGCTTTATCTTTTTTATTTCTACTACCTTTGTATTAATCTATCTGAATCTTCTACTATAGTAGAATTAGTTTAATATGACATATAATTTAAAGAATATGTTATATAAAATAAATATAATATGTGTAGTATCTCAGGTTGTCGGTTTAAAATTGATGATAAGCCAGCAATAGACCGATGTTTTAATAAACTTAACTTTATTGTGAGTAAGTATGAGTATATATCATGTTCTAATTTTAAAATTATTTGGATTTCTTTTTATTAATTTATAAATCCATTGTATATTTAAATATTGATCAAAATAAAATATATCCATCAAAATTAATAAAAAGAATACTATATGTTATGATACCCTGCTATAATATATAATAATATTTAAGCATTAAATTATACTTTTAAAAAATATAAATTAATGAGAAAAATATTTGTCTTGAAATATACTTTAAGCCAGTTATTTAATGAACTTACTTAACCTAATTTACTTAAGACTTACAATTTACTTTCTAATCAACAATTTTGATTTAATATATTTTTTTTTTCAGTACAATTAAATGTAAAATTATATGTTTTTATAAATAATACTGTTCCTACTAAAATGTTCTGTTAATTTTGAAAGTCCCATTAAAGCTTAATATAAGCAATAAACGTTATATTATTAACAGGAAAGACTGGAGGACAGTTAATTACATGGAAGCAATAAATAATGTTTATTGGTGTCAAGCATACTATACAATCTGAGAGGAATTTACAGCGTGCCAAAAATAATTTACCGGCTATTATACCACAATAGTGTTATCAAGAGGAAACCCGAGTTTATCCGACGCGCCTAAGCATTGTAAACATTGACTATTTTTATACACATCAAATTTAATAGCAACTATATCATTTGTTAGCTATAACTTACCATATGAAGTCCTTGCAGTGCGAACAGAAGGTCGGCTGTTTGAAGAACCTCGGCATAAACTTGTGGTCTTTCACCAGGTAAACATTCTTCTTCTTGAGGGCACCTTTGCGGCCCCGAAGGCGCATCGCCCCCGCTTTAACCTCACCACCACCATCATCACAATTATTCTCCTCGTCCGCCATCGCGAGCCGGCGATTAGTTACCGGTGTAGTCGGAAATAATTATCTCACAATAAACCGCGAACGACCCGCTGAAGCAGACCGTCCTCAGCAGAACGTCATCGCTCTTTGACAGAATTATGGAAATCCGACTAGCCCCTGAAAAGATGTCATTGTCAAAGTCAAATGTCAAAGTAGCTACCTGTGTTGCTAATCTTAGATACTCTACATATAATTCAAAATCATTATTATTTTGATTCGTTCAAAGAATAAAAACCTAAATATTGGTAAAATTTAAAAAAAATCTAGTGTGAATGATTCCACAGCATAAAAATCTTACATATTAACAACTGGCACAAGTAGGAGCTGTAACAAAATAATAAAATTAACCCTTTTATTTCTAATTACAGACAAGTACTGTTTTTTATTTCTTGAAATATTATAACCTTATTTGAAAATACTAAAATTATCAGGAGTTCATAAATTAGAAAAATAAACCAATCTTATCGTTTTACCGATTTAAGTTTTATATATTTTTGAGTAATTTATTATTACATCTCGAATCTCGAATCCTTATAAAATCTATCAGTTTAAAATATTGCATCCCTTTTACATAAAGTTTTAAAATTTGTATATTTTTATCACTTTAACAACTTATTATTTAAGTATAGAGAAAATACAAGGCATTATATTTTTTCCTATTCGATGGCATTGACAAGAAGTTTTTTATTTTTAAATATTATGAATGATGACACATGACATTTTATTCGCCAACCGACAGCCGCAAGGCGTCGTTATTCAAATTTCTTACTAAAGAGTCGTTAGAACATTTGGCAGTTACAATATTTGTTTGTAGTATATTAGTTTAAAAAGTGATAATTAAATGGTTTAAGTGTTGTATATAACTTTAATTTCAGTATTTTTTTTATTCTGCAATAATTAAAGCAAACATGAGTACAGAAAATTCTGACTCCGGTGGTGGTATAGCTCTCTCGTTGGTGGCACAATTTGACGATATAAATCGTTTGAACAGTGTTTTAAATGATGGAACGTCGGAAGAATGTAAGTTCGTTTAATTCTTGAACTCGACAAAATATTTTTTCATTAAAATGTCTTATGGCGGTAGTAATCATCCTTAAGATTTTTCCGACTCCTACCTACATTAAAAAAGTGAAATATTTCTACAGTCTACCCGTCAGTTATGAATATTTTATGAAAATGGTTGTTTCTATAGGTTTTCTAGCTTTTGTAAAACAAATGGAATGGGTTAGAACCCAGTGGGCCACCGCAGAGGCGGAAGCGAGGCGATTACAAACCGAGCTCGATGAAGCGTTAAATAAATTAGAAAAATGGGAAGCGAAATTTGCTCATGTTCGTAAACTACTAGACGGTGAAAAGAGGGAACGAAATGTAGTTATGAAGAAATATAATGAGTTGGTATGTTTATTGCATACTTCTATATATTTTTTTATCATGTCACTCATATAATGTGGATATGAGTAATGTAAACAATTTATTTCAGAGCAAACTCTTAGATATGGCTAGGGATCTGCTCTTCAACGACAACCGAGCAAAGCTTAACAATGAAACACTACAGAAGCTGGCCTTCTTGAATGGTACGGCACAACAAGACCATAACGCCAAACTAAATGGTGTACCAGAACTTAATTCTACAGGTTTGTAATATTTCTAACAAATACACATATATCATAGAAAATATTAGTATTGTAATAATAATCCATTTATTTCTTTGCTTTTTCTAACCATGAAAAGACCAAATTACAATTTACTATGAAAACTATACATCATTTTGTTTCAATCATATTTTGTGATTGTTGAATTTATTTCTATAAAATGGCTTCATAAAAATAAATTTACATATCTGCTTTTGACTCTAGTAACAATCTATAGATATCCGACTAAAGTTTATACTCTGGCTGTATTACATTGTTTTAAACTACATTTAACATCCTTATTATGTACATACATATTGTATTATATGATTCACTGAAAAACTGACCAAAAATTTCGAATTATATAGGGACACTATTGTCGGAGATGTCATATTCTCGATCGGAAGATGATCTTGATCTCTCCCTGGCTTCAACGCGTCGTTCCTGGGTCCAGCGAGGAGGCTGGGCTGCTCGGCCAGATGCTCCTAAGAAGAGACGATCATCGACATCATCAGCTACTAAGGTATACAAGGGAAATTTGGCCAAAGATATATCTTTAATTATTACTTGATAATACTTGACTATCATTGAAATACTAATGTTGAAATTGAGTACAAAGAATTTCATTGAATTGTCTAAGGTATAAAAAGGAAATATGGCCAAAGATATATCTTTTATTATAAGTTGATAAGGCTTGACTTTCATTGAACTGAAATGTTGAAATTGGTTAAAAAAAACCATTGAATTGTAATAACAAATATATCTAATCTAATGTTAGATTTAAGTGTTATAAAAATCTCAATGTCGTCAAATTCACTTTTTAACTGAAAGTAACTGAAATGTTACAAATAAGTAAAACAGATACACAAATAGTGTTCCAAAGCTTTGATCATGAAAAAGGGCATAATATCCCAACAGTAATATAATATCATTAATTACATATATAATGAGTTTGTCAAACATTAATTAGTTATGAACAAATAGATATAATTTTCACCTTATATTGTAAAAGATAAAAAACTCATGCCAAATATTTGTTCATCTTGATAAAAAAAATTCACCCATTTTTGGCATACACAGTGCTGGTGAAGTATGCATGTAGATGACAAATTACAATTAAATTAAATTTTTAATATGTAAGAAAATATAAATTAATATTTGAAAAAGGCTTCATAATGTCTTACAAATCAAAGTTCAAGTGGATATATAATTTAACTATTGACTATCCCTGGTTCTTGCTTATAATTCTATTATAAAAGATCCTATTTTAACCAAAAAATTATCCTTCAAAAACAGTTTCAACGAAATAGTACCACTGCTTTGGATAATGGATTGAATGTAAGAGACTAAAAAGTAAAAGTAGAAATAACTTTTGAGTAACTTTTCTTTAATGATTTAGTATTAGAAGTACATATAATATTGTAATGTGATTGGTTTAACAAACTAATTTCTCATGTAATTCATCCTCATTTATTTGTTAATTTAAATTAGTATCATCTCATTATGTAGAATAATCTAGATTTTATATTTTTGACATAATTTAAAATACTAAATTCATATAAAGTGTTCTTTGGTGTTACCCTAATAAAAAATATAAATCCAATGTAATATTTTCCAGACAGTGGAACTCCATGGTGGTAAGGTGCTGGCAACTGCGACCACCACACTCACACTAGAGAGAGCTCCCACCACTCATGACCTTAAACCACCACAGAACTTTGTAAGCATAACATTGCATGTAAAAAAAATATCTTATTACATTAAGAGATTGTATAATATTGGAGAGGTGTGTAGATGGTTAAGTCTATGTTATTAGTATTGGAATCAGATTTATTTGACACAAAAAATAAACCATTTTCAAATAAATCTAACTGATATAAAACATATAAAAAAAACTAAGATGATAAGACAAAAAGTTGCCCAAAATGTAATGTTTGCTAAATACGAAAAAATCTATTTTATTTAAATGCGAAAATGTTGTATTTTATCAGATAATATTAATTTTCAATGTAATATTAATTAACTTGTATTGATTTTGTTTTCATAATGTATGTCCATATTTCTCAGCTACCTATATCTGAGAGTAGCGATGAAGCCCAAACTCCACGCCCGCCCGCGCCCCGTCTGTCCCGCAACAAACAGGAAATAGTGCCCTCTGCACCTCCAGGTAAATAATATATATAGACATTAGCTTACTAGCTTATAACCGCGACTTTGTCCACAATATCTTCGGTATTTTGTTGTTTTCAAATGGTTAGGTAGAGAGAGAAGCTTGGACAATGGAGGTGAGCGTTTAACGCGCGTAAGATAGGGACCCTTAAACCTACACCTGGGTCGCAAGTCCCAGTCACTGTTGAAGCTCCTCTCACTACAACGATGGACCCGACACACACACGGTGATCCATTGAATGTTGAGAAGTTTCGTCTCAATTTCGTAAAAGTGTGATATAAAATACACAATAAGAAACCTAACCGTCAGCGACATCTATAGTGTTAGACGTGACTTCAGATACCATACAACTGTTGATATGTTATCCTCATGCATAAGCTACACTATTAATAAATTTCATCAAAATCCGTTTTATAAATTTATCGTGAAAGATCAATAAACATCCATATATGTGCTGGTAAACAATTTCGTTTTAAAAAGCTACTTATCTTTGGACAAATATTAGGCAACTATAATAGTACTAATCACATCGATATATATCTACATATTTGCAGAATCTGAGAGCGCTTCTGACACTCCTAAAGCTCGTCCTCAAAGAACTCCTTCAGTGATGTCAGCGGTGTACGGTTCGCCTAGGGTGAGGCCGAGGCAACATAACTTTATAGGAAAAAACTTCTACAAGCGAGAAACATGCGGACCTTGTGGGAAAACGTGAGTATCATGAGAGATTTATTAATAAATATGTATTTAATCAAATAAGATCTGTTTTTCTTTTATAATGATGTGTTAAAAATGACTTGTTTTATATAAATTATTTGTATAATTGCATAACTCTCAGCTTGTAGCAAAATTGTATATTTAATATAAATTTTTTTCTTTAATACAAAACAAATTAGTGAGTATGAATTATCATAAATATATGTGTATGCATACTTAATGTGTCATATATCATTTCAGTATAAAGTTTGCCAAGATGGGTGTAAAGTGTGAGCAGTGTCGTGCGCAGGCGCATCCCGAGTGTCGCTCTTTGTTGCCACTACCCTGTGTGCCGCCGGGACGAGCACTAGCGCACCAGGTACACACACACACACACATATGCACGAACACACGCACATTACCCTACCTACCAACACTATACAGTCACTATTATTAAATATTAATATATTAAAATAGTTATAAAATAAATAAGTCGTGGGGCCCAATGATTAAAGACCCTCCTCTCCTGCATGAGGGCGCGGGTTCGATCCTAGCAATTACAAATGTAATTTTTCTAAGTCATACATATGTATAGTGCGTTTGATTTGAGCTGAGCTTTGCATTTGTGTGAGTGCACACGGATAGTGTAGGTGTGATGTCAAATTTTTTAATGCAACATTCTTTTCTAGTTTTAAACCGGTTTATTCTGCTTTTATTATTTATTTATTTATTATTCTGCTATTCCGCCCCGCACCTTCCTCACTTCACCTTTTGTACTGGTAGCAAAATCAAATGTTGAAAACGCGATGTCAAATGAAAAATTTGTATAGTTTTTACAAAATTTTTATTAATTAATAAAAAAAATTCCATAATATTCATGATATTTCCATCTGGCCTTTTACAAGTTTTGCTTATTTTATAGCACTTATGTTATATATCTGTTTAAAATATAATAAAATTTAATTCTAAAACTTTTTTGTCTAACACTACTTTTACTTTCACTCACACAAATGCAAAGCTCAGCTTAAGTCTAACGGACTATACTTTCTAAGAGTATTTCAACACTACTGACAGTCGGGGAAGGAAAACATCGTGAGGAAACCTGGACTTAAAATTTCAAATTATAAATTTGAAATCACCAACCCGTCGTCTTGAGTAAGCGAAGCTATTATTGCTCAAATCTTCTCCATGTGAGAAGAGGCCTTTGCTCAGCAGTGGGCTCTGATAGGCTGATGAAAAAAAAATTATTATATATATCATCAATGTTTATTGCAATTGTCCAATTAACACAGACCAAAAAAATCTATTAAAATTTTATACTAAACATGTATATGTATGTACAGGAGGGTAGTATAGCTGACTTCGCACCGTCCACTCCGCCGATGGTCCCAGCTCTTTTGGTTCACTGTATTAATGAAGTGGAGAAGAGAGGACTCACTGAGAGAGGGATCTACCGCATATGTGCTGTAGATAAAGACGTTAAAAGACTTAAGGTTTGTATTACTTAGGATAATTATTATTATACTAATATGTCATACACATTACTATTTTTATACTGTATTTGTAAGAAATAATATATCCAATGTAGATGTATTATCTCTCAGATAGAGTAATGTGTTCATCTGCTTGTCAAATTCTTTGTGGTGTTTGCTGTTTGCATAGTGATAAATAATTGACATACCATAAGCATGTCTGGAAATCACATTTTTTAAAGCCTTGTTATATCTTTAAATTAACTATACTTAATACAAAATCATCATAAGGATTAAATGTGTGTTATATATAAAACAATCAAATATGATGCAAAGTATGTCATAAAACTTCAATAATTTCTATTTCATAGTTGGTAGCACGTATATTGTCAAGGTTTTGGCTTATTTGGGATAAGTTTGCCTTGTACACTTGGTGTAACCAGAAGTGTTTACTTTTGATGCTTATTGATAATAAAAACTGGTAATAGTAACCAAACAATGGGTCCAATTTAAGTTCTGGCAAGTGTACTTGCAACGAACATCCAACTCCATGTCGTCGCATCATATTTATGACACCTAGAGATCATATCCATTCATCTATCGTCTCTTGCTAAGTTACCTGTCTAATATACTATACAAATATAACGACTTCATATTAGAGATCTCTTAAGAGATAACTCATCCTTTATGCATCACATTTCTATAACAATATATATTTCTAGGAGCGTTTCCTTCGCGGCTGTGGGTCCCCGTCTCTCTCCAGCGAGGACGTCCACGTCATCTGTGGTTGTATCAAAGACTTCCTCCGCTCCCTCAAGGAGCCTCTAGTATCGAGCGCCTTGTGGGCTGACTTCATGAACGCAGCCTCACTAGCCGAGCCCAGTGACGTCACAGCTCAAATGGTCCACGCTGTGTCTCAACTACCACAGCCCAATAGAGACACACTAGCATTCCTCGTGTTGCATTTACAGAAGTAAGACTATATAGTACAAGTTTACTTATAAATTTATTAAGAATTATGCCTGTTGAGAATTTTTTTTAACATACAAGTATACTGCATTTATATATTATTAAAATAATGCTAGCTTTCCGCCTACAGCTTCGCCCGCGTGGAGTTCGGTTATATCGCGTTTCCAAGAGAACCTTTCAAAAGTCTGGGATAAAAACTATCCTATGTTCTTTCTCAAGGTCAACTCTATCTCAGTACCAAATTTCATTAAAATCAGTTGAGTGGTTTAAGCGTGAAAGCGTAACAGACAAACAGACAGAGAGATTTACTTTCGCGTTTATAATATTAGTAGGGATCACGTTGTTGCTCCAATCAATAAGTATACTGCATTTATATATAATTAAAATAATATTATATAATATGCTTATTTTACATACATATTTTCAGAGTAAGATTATATTGTAGAAGTTTAAATGAAACTTATATTTTTTCGGATTATACTACGCGACTTTATTTTTGTAAATCGTGATCACGGTTGCTGTAAAGTAGCCGAAACGTCAGGAGTATATAGTTCTTTACAAAAATAAAGTCGCATAATAAAATCCGAAAAATATTAGTTTCATTTAAGTGAATAAAACTCGCGAAAATGTTAGATCTCATTGTAGAAGCTTACTTATAAAATATACAGTTGACTAACTTCTCATATGGTATATATGTTATAAATGAAATTTTAATATAACGTTACTTTGAAGCGTGATTTGATTAGTGTGCTCTAATTATAATTAAAATAACATATAAATATGTTTTCAGAGTATCTGAAAGTCCCGAATGTGAAATGGGCGTTGACAACTTAGCTCGTATGTTCGCCCCGAGCGTGGTGGGCTACGGTCTAACGACTGCAGCTCAAATGTACACCGCCACTGAGAAGATGTTCACTGTGAGATATACTTATATAATAAATAAAAATTGTTGCATTATCAATACTAACTTCTTAATAATTATATGCTAGTCTAAACACTCTTGATATTTGTATTAAAATTTATTTGCTAAGTCTGAGACTTAAAGCAAAGATGCTTAAATTATGTATATATTATAAAAGAATCTTTATATAAATATTACTTAAATAATATACTATGTACTTGCTGTTCAATGTTAAAATTGCTAAAATCACTCTTTGCTGTTAATAAATCTCAATTAATCAAAGACTAAAGAAATTGAGACAAACAAATTTATATCAAATTAAAAATGCACATTTACTGATTTTATGGAAGATTCTTAATTAATTATTTTTATTCTATTCTTAATCTATAGGTGATGCAAGTATTACTGAACCTCCCGGGCGACTACTGGTCCCAGTGGGCGTGTCCCTCCGATGTGAGTTCACCTCTCAATACAAACAGACCCAGAGGATTCTTCTTCTCTCCCGCTGATACTGGGTAAATATATAACATATATGTAGTAGTAGGCTACTAAATAATATAAGACATTATAGTCCGTTAGACTTAAGCTGAGCTTTGCATTTGTGTGAGTGAAAGTAAAAGTAGAGTTAGACAGAAACTTTTAGAATAAATTTTATTATATTTTAAATAGATACATTACATAGGTGCTAGAGCTATTCTTGATTAAAAATAAAATAAGCAATACTTGTAAAAAGCCAAATGGAAATATAATGGAAAAAAAAATATGAAGTAATAAAAATTTTGAAAATACAATACAAATTTTTCTTCACTTGACATTGCGTTTTCAACATTTGACGTTGCTACCAGTACAAAGGGTGAGGTGCGGAAGGTGCGGGGCGGAATTAAAGCAGAATAAACCGGTTCAAATTGAAAAAAGAATGTGGTATTCAAAAATTTGACATCACACCTACACTCACACAAATGCAAAGCTCAGCCTTAATCAAACGCACTATACTCTACTACCTTTTTACTACGTCTATTAGGGACTTAATGAAAAATAATTTTATCCACTGGTAAATACATTTACATATTGTAATACACAATACACTTATTAAAAAGTGACTAAGAAGTAAATCAATCAAAATAGTAATTTTGATTGAATTTGAGTTAGGATTGGATGAAAATAGTTGAGAATTGAATTGATATTCTTAGATTTTATTTCAGTAACACAGTACAAAATTTGATATAAGAGCAAGCTATATGACCAAATAAGAAAGAATATAACACCACATAGATAGTAGTGTGCGCTAGTGAGCAATTTAGGCAACTTGATAATTTATATTGTTTGGTTTCTACAAGTTCCAACAAGTAATTGTTAGGACTTAGGTAATACATATATGTAAATATATCCAGTATAAATAAGATTTCACTCTAGACCAGCCCTTCCCAAAGTGAGTGATAATGTTACTTTGTGAGTGATATGGGCCTAATGAGGGATGATAAGAGATCCAGAACAAAAAGTTATTTGACATTTCATTAAGATGCTAATAAAAAACATGTATTCTCAAAGTGAAGACTGTTGTGTATAAGTACAATACAAATGCGCATATGATTTCAAGTTTGTCAATAATCATAATATTTGTATTACAGGGTTTCAAGAAAGAAGAGAAACTACTTTCAATAACTAAGGACTTAATAATAATTTTGTTTTCTTTGTTTTTATTAGTAGAGACAAGTTATGTTAACCATAAATATTAGTGCCTTCATGCAAAGCTAGAATGTCATTTCTTTTACTTCTATAACAATTAGTTAATATTTTTGTTTATATGTATTATGTATAACAAACTAGATAATAAACGATTTTCTCTAATTTATAGAATTAAAACTTATGTTTAATTATATCATTAATTAAGACTCAATCTGGACAGTAGATGATAGTACTTAATAGAATGTTACTTATGTACGCTTTGTATGACAATAAAATAACATTGTAAGTTGCTTAAGCCTCTGTTAATATAAAATTAATATTATATATAGATGTACATATTGATATAACATACATGTATTGGGTCGTAGCTTTATTTGATTTATATGTTGTAGTTGAACTGCAGACTTCTCATATAGTCCATGTTAGTACTCGAGCTGCGACACTCGTTTAGTTTAATCATGTTATTGAATATTTCCGTTATCGTGACGTCACGCCACCGCCTAAGATGGTCGATTTAGAGAATATATATCACACATTCAAAGTACAAACTGAATTGGGTCTTTTTTCTTTTGTTTTTTTTTTATATTAGAATATATTTAAGTGAAGAATTCGTGTACATCATTTCTTTGGTCAAGTTATAAGACATGTTTAAATGTAATTAATAATCGATTTATACTTATAATATAATGGTAGTTTAAGTTTATTCTAACTTTATGTATTTCGTATGGACATTAGTGCTTTATTTCTATATTGGCTTCGTTTATATATTAATATATCTCGTAGGTTATATATTTATTGTGAACACGATGTTTCTTTTGTTGAACGTTCATTTGTGTTTGAATTTCGTTTCTTTAGACTTAACATTTTCCTAGTCACCGACTAGTTTATGTATGTTCTAGCTACTAACGTAGATTATGTTTTGTTTGAATCGGTTGCTGTATTTTTAGTTAAGGCTGTGTATAGTAAAATAAAACCATTAAAAGCCTTGGATTGTTTTTATTTAGTTACTACTTGCCGATGGCTTCGCCCGCATAGTGAACACACTTTATTATCGTTAAGTTATTTATGAAATTTCTCGAAGATGCCTTTATCCGTTAATAGGACGCAGAACAATCATCTTTTGTATTTAAACTTTTTTTCTAATCAGCCTAAGTATAATCGAAAGATAGACTAACAATGTCATAGATTAGTCCAATTGTCAACTTCTTCCCCTTTGAATTCTGTTAAAAATAGCTTATGTTGCTTCTTATCACATTACCTTCCTGCATGTGATTGTCCTGTCAAAATATGCCTCCACAGATTTAAAATTTAATTGTTGATTTACATACGTATCATTTTGTAATATTGTAAAAGGCTTCATAATGGTCTTACAAATCAAAGTTTAAGTGGATATATAATTTAACTATTGACTGTCCGTGGTTCCTACTTATAATTCTAAGTATCTTAGAGTTCTATTATCTAAGATCCTATTTTAACCAAAACAATTATCCTTCAAAAACAGTTTCAACAAAATAGTACCACTGCTTTGGATAATGGATCGAATGTAAGAGACTTTTAAAAAGTAAAAGTAGAAATAACTTTTGAGTAACTTTTCCCTAATGATTTAGTAATAGAAGTATTATATAGTAATATTATTGGTTTAACAAACTAATTTCTCATGTAATTCATCCTCATTTATTTGTAAATTGAAATTAGTACTATCATCTCATTATGTAGAATAATCTAGATTTTATATTGTTGATATAATTTAAAATACTAAATTCATATAAAGTGTTCTTCGGTGTTACCCTAACAAAAAATATAAATCCAATGTAAAATTTTCCAGACAGTGGAACTCCATGGTGGTAAGGTGCTGGCAACTGCGACCACCACACTTACACTAGAGAGAGCTCCCACCACTCATGACCTTAAACCACCACAGAACTTTGTAAGTATAACATTATGGACAAAACAAAAATCATATTATATTGAGAAATAATATAATACTAACTGCGCCCCGCGGTGTTTCCCGCAGATTTCCGGGATGTAAAGTAGCCTATGTGTTATTCCTGGACGTCAGCTTCCTGTATACAAAATTTTATCAAAATTGGTTCAGCCGTTTGAGTGTGAAGAAGTAACAAACATACACACACACACACAAACTTTCGCAATTATAATATTAGTAGGATTGGAAAGGTGTATAGTTGGTTACGTCTATTTTATAAGTATTGGAATCAGATTTATTTAACACAAAAAAAATAAACCATTTTCAAATAAATCTAACTGACATACTTTGTTATAAAAAAACTAAGATAAGAAAAAATTTACAAAAATGTAATGTTTGATAAATCCAAAGAAATCTATTTTATTGAAATGCGAAAGTGTTATATTTTATCAGGTAATATTAATTTGCAATGTTTAATACTTGTATTAATTTTTGTATGTCCATATTTCCCAGCTACCCATATCTGAGAGTAGTGATGAGGCCCAAACTCCTCGCCCGCCCGCGCCCCGTCTGTCCCGCAACAAGCAGGAAATAGTGCCGTCTGCACCCCCAGGTAAATATTATATATAGACATTAGCTTACTAGCTTATGACCGCGACTTTGTCCACATTATGGTTAGGTAGAGAGAGGAGTTTGGACGGTGGAGGTGAAAGTATAACACGCGTTAGATAGGGGCCCCTTACACCTACACTTGGGTCACAAGTCCCAGGCACTGTTGAAGCTCCTCTCCCTGCAACGATGGACCTGACACCCGCACGGTGATCCATTGAATGCTGAGAAGATTCGTATCAATAACGTTTAAGTATAAAATATAATACACAATATGTTAGCTAACCGTGAGCGACATCTTACAGTGTGTGTGACGTGACTTCAGATACAATCCAACTGTTGATATGTTATCCCCATAAGCTACACTATTAATAAATTTCATCACAATCCGCTTTTCAAATTTATCGTCAAAGATCAACAAACATCAATATATGTATGTGCTGTTATACAATGTCGAGTTTAAAATCTTATCTTTGGACAAATATTAGGCAACTATATTATAATAGTTCTAATCACATCGATATATATCTATGTGTAGAGTCTGAGAGCGCTTCTGACACTCCTAAAGCTCGTCCTCAAAGAACTCCTTCAGTGATGTCAGCGGTGTACGGCTCGCCTAGGGTGAGGCCGAGACAACATAACTTCATAGGAAAAAACTTCTACAAGTGAAAAACATGCGGACCTTGTGGGAAGACGCTCACGTCTGATACTCATATCACGAGAGCTTGACCAATATGTATGTATTTTATCAAATAAGATCTATTTTTCTTTTATAATAATATTTTAAAAATTATGTACTTGTTTTATATAAATTATTTCTATTATTGCATAACTCTCACCTTGAAGCAAAATTGTATTGTATTTTAAATATTAAATTTTTCTTTAATACAAAACAACTTGTGTATGCGTACTTAATGTGTCACATAACATTTCAGCATAAAGTTTGCCAAGATGGGTGTAAAGTGTGAGCAGTTTCGTGCGCTGGCGCATCCCGAGTGTCGCTCTTTGTTGCCGCTAACCTGTGTGCCGCCGGGACGAGCACTAGCGCACCAGGTACACACACACATACACACAAAAAACTGACACACACACATTTGCACGAACATACGCACATTACCCTACCTACCAACACTATACAGTCACTATTATTAAATAGTAATATATTAAAATTATTATAAAATAAATAAGTCGTCAGGACCTAATCATTAAAGGCCCGCCTCTCCTGCATGTATTTTTTCCGACTCATATGTACTTTCTAACAGTATTGACTCCACTGACAGACGGTGAAGGAAAACATCGTGAGGAAACCTGGACTTATAGTTTCAAATTATAAGTTTGAAATCACCAACCCGTCGTCTTGAACAAGTTAAGTCAAGTCTTCTCCGTGTGAGAAAACACCTTTGCTCTGCAGTGGTCTCTGATAGGCTGATGAAAAAAAAAATTATACAGGGTGACTGGTGAATTACTATCGATACTTAAGGACGTGATATTTGACGATCATATATGACAAAATAAAAATTAATATAACATAAATATTAATAAACTTCTAAGTAAAGTTAACCAAAAGCTATGTAATTCATTACGCATCGTGTGAACACCCTACAGATTAGGTATTCACACACACACAGACACACCCGTGCGGCGGCGTGGTGTTGTATCAGCACGCCGCCGCACGCGTCCACACTTGGAACACTTGGAACGTGTCCACACTTTATTTATTTATACGGAAATTTGGTCAAAAATTAAGAACCTATTTTTTTTTACATAATTCGAATGAGAATCATGTACCGAGTATTCTCCTTAAATATTGATAGTAATTCACCAGTCACCCTGTATATGTCATCAAAGTTTATTGCAATTGTCCAATAAAAATAGATAGACCACAAAAACCTATTTCAATTTTATATTAAACATGTATATGTATGTACAGGAGGGTAGTATAGCTGACTTCGCACCGTCTACTCCGCCGATGGTCCCAGCTCTTTTGGTTCACTGTATTAATGAAGTGGAGAAGAGAGGACTCACTGAGAGAGGGATCTACCGCATATGTGCTGTGGATAAAGACGTTAAGAGACTTAAGGTTTGTATTACTTAGGATAATTATTATTACACTAATATGTCATACAAATTACTATTTTTATAATGTGTTTGTAAAAAATAATATGAAATGAAATAATATAAAAAAATAATAATAATATTTAATCTCTGAGAGAGAGTAATGTGTTCATTTGATTCGCGAATTCTTTATGGTGTTTGCTGTTTGCATAGTGATAAATAATTGACGTATCATAAGCCTGTCTGGAAATCACATTTTTAAAACCTTGCTACATCTGTACATTTACTATACCTACTTAATACAAAATCACCATAAGGAATAAATGTGCTATATATATATATAAAACACAGAAATATGACGCCATGTATCTCATAATACTTGCACTAAATTAGTTTATTTATACGACTAGTAGCCAGCAACATATTGGCAAGGTTTTGGCAGTGGAGTTAAGTTTGCACATGTACAGTTAGTGTAATAAAAGTGATCACTGGTTATGAGTAATAATTACAAAAATTGGTAATAATATCAACAACAATGTGTCCAATTTAAGTTCTCGCGAGTGTACTTGCAACAAACATTCAACCCCATCTCATCGCATCATACTTATGACACCTAGAAATCATATCCATTCATCTATCGTCTCTTGACAAGTTACCTGTCTAATATACTGTATAAATATAACGACTTCCTATTAGAGATCTCTCAAGATAACCTATCTTTTATGCATCACATTTCTTCTCTAATAAGTATATATATGTTTCCAGGAGCGTTTCCTCCGCGGCTGTGGGTCCCCCTCTCTCTCCAGCGAGGACGTGCACGTCATCTGTGGTTGTATCAAAGACTTCCTCCGCTCCCTCAAGGAGCCTCTAGTATCGAGCGCCTTGTGGGCTGACTTCATGAACGCAGCCTCACTAGCCGAGCCCAGTGACGTCACAGCTCAAATGGTCCACGCTGTGTCTCAACTACCACAGCCCAATAGAGACACGCTAGCATTCCTCGTGTTGCATTTACAGAAGTAAGATTATATAGTGCAAGTTTATACAGGGTGACTGGTGAATTACTATCAATATTTAAGGAGCATACTCGGTACATGATTCTCATTCGAATTATGTAAAAAAAATAGGTACTTAATTTTTGACAAAATTTCCGTATAAATAAATAAAGTGTTGACACGTTCCAAGTGTTCCTAGTGTGGACGCGTACGGCGGCGTGCTGATACAAAACCACGCCCCCGCTGCGTATGTGTGAGTGTGTGTGTATACCTAATCTGTAGGGTGTTCACACGATGCGTAATTAATTACATAACTTTTGGTTAACTTTACTTAGAAGTTTATTAATATTTATGTTATATTAATTTTTATTTTGTCATATATGATCGTCAACTACCATGTCCTCAAATATCGATAGTAATTCACCAGTCACCCTGTATATAAACTACTCAACTATTATGCCTGTTGACAATTGAGATTGAAATTTTTATATACAATCATATTGTTGCTCTAATGAATAAGTATACTGCATTTATATATAATTAAAATAATACTAGCTTTCCGCCCACAGCTTCGCTCGCGTGGAGTTCGGTTATATCGCGTTTCGAAGAGAACCTTTCAAAAGTCTGGCATAAAAACTATCCTATGTTCTTTCTCAAGGTCAACTCTATCTATTTACCAAAATTCATTAAAATCATTTAAGTGGTTTAAGCGTGAAAGCGTAACAAACAGACAGATATGCAGACAGACAGACAGAGTTACTTTCGCATTTATAATATTAGTAGGGATTATATAATATTTGTTTATTATACATATATATTTTCAGAGTAAGATTATATTGTAGAAGTTTAAATGAAACAAATATTTTTTCGGATTATACTAATCGGCTTAGGAATATAAAAATTTCATCTATACCTGTCATAGATGAAATTTTTATATACCATTACATTGTTGCGTGATAGCATTGAATTATAATTAAAATTAAATATAAATGTATGCTTATTAAACATATATTTATTTCAGAGTATCTGAAAGTCCTGGATGTGAAATGGGTGTTGACAACTTAGCTCGTATGTTCGCCCCGAGCGTGGTGGGCTACGGACTAACGACTGCTGCCCAAATGTATACCGCCACTGAGAAGATATTCACTGTGAGATATACTTATTTAATATTTAAAAATTTGTTACACTATCAATACTAACTTCTTAATAATTATATGCAAGTTTAAACACTCTTGATATTTGTATTAAAATTTATTTGCTAAGTCTTAGACTTAAAGCAAAGATGCTTAAATTATGTATATATGTATTATAAAAGAATCTTTATATAAATATTACTTAAATAATATACTATGTACTTGCTGTTCAATGTTTAAATTGCTAAAATCACTCTTTGCTGTTAATAAATCTCAATTAATCAAAGACTAAAGAAACTGAGACAAACAAATTTATATCAAATTAAAAATGCACATTTACTGATTTTATGGAAGATTCTTAATTAATTATTTTTATTCTATTCTTAATCTGTAGGTGATGCAAGTATTATTCAACCTACCGGGCGACTACTGGTCCCAGTGGGCGTGTCCCTCCGATGTGAGTTCACCTCTCAATACAAATAGACCCCGAGGATTCTTCTTCTCTCCCGCTGATACTGGGTAAATATATAACATATATGTAGTAGTAGGCTACTAAATAATATATGACATTATACTATGTGTATTTAGGACTTAATGAAAAATTATTTGACCCACTATAAATAAACTTATACACAATAAACACTTACATATTACACGGAAAAAAATATTTTATTATACACAATAAACTTCTTACAAAATGACTAAGCAGTAAATCATAACAGTAATGTTAGGATTGAATTGATATTCCTAATTGATTTTAGTTCAATTACAAAATTGATTTTAGTTCAATTACAACATTTGATATGAGAGCAAGCTATATGACCAAATAAGAAATAATATACACACTTAGATAGTAGTATGAGTTAGTGAGCAATTTAGACAATTTGATAATTTATATTGTTTGGTTTCTACACGTTCCAACAAATAATTGTTAGGACTTAGGTAATACATACTTGTAAGTATATCAGGTATGAACAAGATTTCTCTCTAGACCAGGATTTCCCATAGTGAGAGATAACATTACTTTGTGATTGATATGGGCCTAATGAGGGGTTGTAAGACATCCAGAACAAAAATGTGGGTGTTGTTTCTAAACAGCCTCTAGGCTTGAGGGCTAATTTGATATTTCATTAAGATGCTAAAACATTTATTCTCAAAGTGAAAACTGTTGTGTATAAGTACAATAAAAATGCACATACATATTATTATATGATTTAAAATTTCTTAATAATTATATTATTTTTATTACAGGATTTCAAGAAAGAAGAGAAACTACTTTCAATAATGAATGACTTAATAATAATTTTGTTTTCTTTGTTTTATTAGTAGAGACAAGTTATGTTAACCATAAATATTAGTGACTTCATACAAAGCTAGAATGTCATTACTTTTACTTCTATAACAGTTAGTTAATATTTTTGTTTAATTAAGACTCAATCTGGACAGATGTTAGTACTTAATTAATTTATTTATTTATTTATTTATCTCAGACATAGTCCATATTTAAATATTAGTAATACATGTCAACTTTATAACTAATGTAAGTAAAAGCAAATGATAATAATAATAATAAAAACAAACAAAACAACACAGACAAACACAAAATACAAAAATCGCCATTTTTAGGCAGCGTGTAGCCGTACCCAGTGGCGCAGTATATCAGAGTCCCAGCGGCCAGCCAGTGCACACAGAATGCCATTCGAACTGGATCGCAACTTCTGAAGCGCAGGTGCACTCCTCTTGCGAATAATAACATAAAAGCTATCAACACGCCTCTCAGCAAACATTTCGGAGGCGCTACAGTAGCGCGGCAATCCGAACAGCACTCTGAATGCATTGTTGTACTGAACTCGCAGAGCGCTGTACGCGCGCTGCGTATACTTAACCCAAAGGCTGCAGGTGTAAAAGGATTGGCAATGTGCCTTGAACAAAGTTAATTTTACACTCTCAGTACACCGTGCAAACCTTCGGGTCAGCATGTTACAGCGCACGGCAGGCGCCCTGCGCTCTCGCTCCAAGTCATCTTCATCGCTGAGGTTGTCTGAAACCCAGTGACCCAGATACCTGAACTGTTCAACTCGTCTTAATGCAGTGCCACCAAGATATAAAGGTGGAACATTAGCATAAACTTTCTTACCAGTTTTAAACACCAGGAGTTCACTTTTATTCGCGTTGTATCTCAGTCCATGGGCTTCAGCATACCTCTCACATATACTTAATAATTTTCGTAACGCGCCGATTGAGGGACTTATCAATAACATATCGTCAGCGTAACTGATGTTATTTACGCAGACGCCCCCCACGTGACAACCGATACCGCTATTACCCAGCTCTGCAAGCAGCCCATTAATTATTGATTTTGGGTTTAATTTATTTGTTGTTTTCCAGAATTTACTAAAATTTTTACCAGCGTGATGACGCGCTATTATATCTAATTTTATTTGATTTTGATTATCCTGACATAACTTTAATTTCAATTTAAAAATTCGTCTACTTTCCCTCATGTCGTTATAAACCGATCCACTCATCTGCTTACCCGTTTGTAACCAATTTTGATAACATAACCGCGCCGCCCTGTGAGCGAAACTGACGTGTTTGTTCCACCCCGGCACGGGTCTATGTTTTCGGAAAGAAGGCCCTACATAGGAGTTCACAGCCGCCTCTCGAAGTATTTGAACAACATATTTATACATTTGGTTTAAGACATATTTATGATTCATTTCACTACAAAAACTATCACCGCATTCGTAAAAATGTTCGGTAAAATAATTTTACTTAGTTTATGTTGACAAATTCTCGAATATTTACTGATCTGTTCTGAGTTTCTTTCCCCCATATGACTTTATTAACCACTAATTTAGGACATATCAACTTAGGTGTTATTAGGTGAAAATCACACTCGACAATTAAAGGTAAGTGGTCAGACCAGTAAACATCGTACAAAACTGTTACACTACGAATCGAGCGCCTGGCCGCGTAGGTAATTACACAGTGGTCGAGCCAGCGCCGACAGCCGTGCCAGTCACTCGCAAATGTATAGCTATCCGGAGGAAGCATTTCTATGTCCACACATGACCACCTTTGTTCGACACAGAAGTTCAATAATTAATTTCCAAATAACTCACTCACTCACTCAAATAGAATATGTTACTTATGTACGCTTTGTATGACAATAAAATAACATTGTAAGTTGCTTAAGCCTATGTTAATATAAAATTAATATTATATAAGGATGTACATATTGATATAACACACGTATTGGGTCGTAGCTTTATTTGATTTATATGTTGTAGTTGAACTGCAGACTTCTCATATAGTCCATGTTTGTACTCGAGCTGCGACACTCGTTTAGTTTAATCATGTTATTGAATATTTCCGTTATCGTGACGTCACGCCACCGCCTAAGATGGTCGATTTAGAGAATATATAACACGCATTCAAAGTACAAACCGAATTGGGTCTTTTTTCTTTTGTTTTTTTTTTTTATATTAGAATATTTTTTAAGTGAAGAATTCGTGTACATCATTTCTGTGGTCGAGTTATACGACATGTTTAAATGTAATTAATAATCGATTTACACTTATAATATAATGGTAGTTTAAGTTTATTCTAACTTTATGTATTTTGTACGGACATTAGTGCTTTATTTCTATATTGGCTTCGTTTATATATTAATATATCTCGTAGGTTATATATTTATTGTGAACACGATGTTTCTTTTGTTGAACGTTCATTTGTGTTTTAATTTCGTTTCTTTAGACTTAACATTTCCCTAGTCACCGCCTAGTTTATGTATGTTCTAGCTACTAACGTAGGTTATGTTTTGTTTGAATCGGTTGCTGTATTTTTAGTTAAGGCTGTGTATAGTAAAATAAAATCATTTAAAAGCCTTGGTTTGTTTTTATTTAGTTACTACTGGCCGATGGCTTCGCCCGCATAGTGAACACACTCTGTGATACACGTTATTATCGTTAGGTAATTTATGAAATTTCTCGAAGATGCCTTTGTCCGTTAATAGAATGTAGAAGAGTCATCCTTGTATTAAAACTTTTTTGTCTAATCAGCCTGAGTATAATCGAAAGATAGACTAACAAAGTCATAGATTAGTCAAATTGTCAACTTCTTCCTCTTTGAAGTCTGTTAAAAATAACCTAAGTTGCTTCTTATCACATTACCTTCCTGCGTGTGAATGTCCTGTCAAAATATGCCTTCACAGATTTGAATTAGGTATCATTTATAAAGTATAAACATACATATGGATTTATTAAAAAAGCTGTTCATTTCAAATTACAAATGGACACTTCAATTTTATTCACTTTACAAGTGTATTAGTGTTACAAGTGGTGCCATCCATCCCGTACTAATTATAATAAACTATAATCTTGAGAATTATTTTATGGCTGATTGTAATATTGAACTATTGTAATAGCAATATTAAAGTATCACCTTGCATTAGAAAACTATCAATACTGTCTTAAGCCACTTTGTAGAGTATTACTGGAAGGAATGCTGAACATTGAAAATCAAACTTGAAACTGTAGCTCGAACAATAGCTGTAACAAGTAACTCCGTCTCTAAGAAAGAACAGATAAACAATGAAAAACGTTTCAGTGCCGTGTACACCAAATCTCTCATTCTAGTGTAATAACGCTTAATTGCCGGTTCAGTACTTGGACATTGCATAACTGTTTATCATATTTTATTTGTCTGCTTAGTATCCATATGCTACTTGCCCATAAAAGTCCCGAAAATATCTATGCTACAATTTCAGAGATTAACCGGAACAAAAAGACAGACATCAATATTGAAAATATTTTGGCGCATGTACCGTGTAGGTATATATATATTGGCCTGTAGTACCTATGAAAGGGTTATTTCAATATTACAAACATTTCACTTATATTTATATTAATAGTAGGTATGTTTTATTATTATATTCTCTTAACAAATACAGTCGTAAAAGTGTTAGAGAAATTATTATTTTACTAGAAAAATAGTCAAGTAGTGTCCATAGCAGCTTTCATTCGTCTCTAAATGATTTTTCACTTTTCCTTGACGCCAAATTTTAATATACTTATGTTTTAGCGATGCATCAGAATTGAGAATATTATATTTACATTTGTAAATAAGTAAGTCAAGCACTCAAAAATAAACATATTTTTCTAACTTAAGTACATTTGTGTTTTAAAATCAAAAGGTAAAATGAAACTGCAGGTTAAATGAAAAAATGCTTTATGAAGACAATAATGAAATCACAATACAATGTAAATAAATTAAAATTAACCAATTGAGCAAATAATATTAAGAAAATATTATAAATAAAATATTTGTGAGGAACATTTTTGTATCAAATATTAAAAATTCTATAACACAGTCAGTGTATTCCTATTATTATAGTTGATATATGATTAAGAATCTTATTTCTATACATTTAAATATTTCAGAAGTAACAGTGAGCTATTGTTAGTAACGGCAGTGAACAATTTATGGATTTTTTTTTTCACTTTTATTAAAACTATATATTGAAGGATATCAAATGGTATACATACAACCCTATAATGTAAAATTCTATGAAATAAATAAATAACTCTAATAAAGAACTTATTGTATAATAAAAATTATAATTCACACAAAATAAAATATATACAGTGCTCTTCTAAACTAAAGGAATCTTTGGATGACAACTAGCGACTAGTCAAAGTATAAAATGCAAAACTAAATCTAACACCAAGATATTATAAATAATATTAACACACAATAAAGACGACTAATTAATATATATTGAGTATTTTTTTACATAAATAAAATGTAATTAAAACCCTGACACAACATAAAAGTCTGTATAAACCACATTTGTCAGATCCTACAATACAGATCCGTATTATGCTTAATATATAGAGAATTATGCTATCATTATGCAAATGTTTGATCTTAATATATAGCTACAGAACTTATGTAGAATAAATATTTACAAAACCTTCGCTACAAGGATTATACATACAGCTTTAAATTATAATAGAACTTTGGTTATTACATATTATGATGAATTATAAATTGTGATTATTAAATATATTATTACAGATATTTTAAGGATTAACAGACTCATACACTTCAATATAAACCTGATCAAAGTCATTATATATGTATATATGGAATTATTATATCAAATCATTTTGTTATATAATCAAATTCAATTTGAAGTGAACCTTACATAGTAGGTATATAAGTCAGTTTTTTTTAAATATATAGCTTCAAATATATATATTATTCTTTGGTATATATCTATCTTACGTCAGTGTCGTTTCTAGGTATAGATCCCTTGTAACTGATGCCGTATGGTCTTAGATGGTATATCAAATAGTCCAATACATACATCTGTTCAGGATTCACGTAGTGGAAGGAAACCGCGTGGTCGGAACAACAGTCTAGACCCTGGAATATAAAACAAGTCACAATAATATATGAGAAATAATGTATTCAGTTATTAAATTATTTAATTTGAAAACGCAAAACTTATTTAAATGCCACTGAAGAGAAATTTTGTCGTCGACTAGGGTTGGGCCCCTCTTGCTTAATTGAGAGAGCGACTGAGAGCCATATCCCGAAAGTAGCAAGGTTCAAACCGTGTTTATATCAGTTTTTGTAAATAAATTACTCTATTCAAAGGATTTTTTTTTGAGTTTATATTGTTATATTGATGTGAAAAGGGAAAACTTCGAAACCATTTTTAAGAAAATCTATAAATGTCGTTGTGGGTTGTTTAAAATGTCTGTCATACTAAGTTAATACTACAAATTCTCTTAAAAACAAGGGCAAAGTTAGTATACTGTATATTACCTCGTCAGTGGGATAGTATATGTACTGCCAGTACCAAAAGCCTTTATCCTTGTTGGGGAACAAATGATCCTTAGGAACGAACGGAAAGAATCTTCCACGATTGAGAGAATCCCGTGAATCCATCGCCTTTACGCCCAAATGTTGAAGACATATACCTAGCGGTTAAAATAATTATGAAAATTTATATAATAACTCACACATTTCAAATAATTGACTAGAAATCTATATCGAGCAGTTAGTATATAGAAAATATAAATGCTATAACAAATAAACGCTCGCATCCTGCACCGTGATTATAGCGAATGAGCTCGCCTTAAATCATCATACATTATTTAAGGGAAGTATATTTTATTTTATTTTCTTTAAATACAAGACCACATTGCAATAATTCATCCGATAAGTTATTTATCCATTTTCTTTTTTATGCTATAGGGGGCAACCGATCAGACGGCATATCTGATAAGAGTACCGTCGCCCGTGGACATCCGATTAGATTTGTGGATGTGTTGCCACCCTTGATTAGGTAGTAAGGGTAGGAAAGAGTGGGAAAAGGGAAAGGGCAACCGGCTCTTTCACTAATCGGACAAAACGCACCCATTATTGACTACTTCACGCCGATCTTCTGTGAGAGGGTGGTACTTCCACGGTCGAGCCAGCACATGTTCGAGCTGTAGTTATTCACCTACTCCCTTTTAAATATCTAATGTATATATTCACCCATTTCAGCGTCTTCTGCCCCGTGGTCGCCCGCCTTACACAGATGTGGTGACGGTAGGCCGGTTCTCACGAACTTGTCTAGAGCCGCTCGACTTAATACGTACCCCGCACCACCGCTCATGTAACCCTGGATCAGTTATAATAACAGTTTGATCAGTTTGAACAGTTTGATCAGTTAAAGTACTTAGAATATTGGGCGATCTTAGAACATTTGGAATAGTTAAAACATTCGGAATATTTCGAACAGTTAGAAAGCAATTTGGAAAGTTCAATTACAGTTATAAGTCCTATTATTGTAATATGATTAAGTAAATCCTCTAGAACTTTTTTGAAATAAGTGTTTTACGAAAATAAAATCAAAAAAGGAATCTTCTTATACAAATGTTTTTTTTTTTTTGGCGTTTTTAATTTATCAAAGATGCATTTTGTATAACGTCACTAACCTGTGAGGTGAATGGTTTGAATCTACATCCGAAATACATCGGTTCTTTGCTGTCGTGTTCAGACAACATGTACCTCAGGTTTTCAACTATGACATACCTTTAAAGAGAAACAGTATTACAAATAATTATACATAAATATTCCAAAAACTAGAACAAATAAATGAAATAGAAAATATAAAAGGATTAGGACCTGCAAGTTCTGGAATATCGAGTAGATTAAGTTTTCGTTCCCTGACTTGGGCCAGTAGTTAAAGCGGCATATTATTATTTATTATTGTTATATTTTAAATGATATTAACTCAATCCATGACATTAATTTAAAATATTATCCAAATTTAAATTTGTTTTAAAACAAATTCGAGAATTCTTCACACTTTTCCGAATGGTTAAAATAACGAACAATCAAATGGAAATATTGTGAAACATACGTGTCGTCATCAGCTTTAAGAAACCAGTCAGCGTCTCTTCTGTGATGTTCGTACACATATCTGAAGGCTGCTTTAGTCTTCGCCCAAAGATAATCCCTACCTTCCGATACTGGAAGCTTCACTGATGGCAAACTCTCATCTATTCGAAAAAACACATAGCAACAGCTAAGAAAATTGTCAAATATACCAAAAAGTATGGCTAAAATTACAGCAGTTTTCGTTCTACCTTTTGACATTAAAGCTACAAGGAATAGAATAATGTTACTATGATAAAGTCAATGATAAGATTTCCTTCGTTCAAACAATCCTAAACCCCTATATGTGGGTTGGAGCCGATAAAAAACTCCATTGATTTTCCATACAAAATGCTCAACGTACATAACTGTAGCTAATTTTGGCGGCTTGTATTAAAATACTGACGTTTCAGATAATAATGATAATAGCGATTTGTATCATCTTTCCATGTATTTGTCTTTTTATCAAATTACAAAAGGATTTTGATCGATAAGATATAAATATACAAAATTTTATACCGACATCGATCTCTATTTAATTAAATGTTACTAAAATTGTATAAAAAATCGGATACGACATAGGCAATAAATATTATTTTAATCATAATTTTAATAAAAATATATAAGAAAAAATCCATAATAAGGGTTTAGATTGGAACTATAACTTCATTTACACGGCATTTCAATTGATTTACCAATTCGCTATTGGTTACCAATTACGTTACCAATTTCATTCTATTTAATTCAAAAATTAGTTCCACGTGGATTTTATATTAAAAATCCCTACTAATATTATAAATGCGAAAGTAACTTTGTCTGTCTGTTACGCTTTCACGCCTAAACCACTGAACTGATTTTAATGAAATTTGGTACAGAGTTAGAATTGATCTTGAGAAAGAACAGGATAGTTTTTATCCCAGACTTTTGAAAGGTTCTCTTGGAAACGCGATATAACCGAACTCCACGCGAGCGAAGCTGCGAGCGTAAAGCTAGTATTGTTATAGGAATTTAATCTAATGTATTTTTCTATACAAACCTTCGACGGTGCTCATAAACAATAGTTTATTGCATCTCTTCCCCCACGTGGCTTTAACATGGATAGCCTTCTTCTTATGGTTACTCGGCTGTGTCATAACCCAGCACAGAACCCGTACTCTTTTAGCCAATTCATCCGCAACAGTTCTGTCTTCATCTCTATGAGCGGGCTCGTCTTTACCGTGATCTATGACGCTCGGTATTGGATGTTTTTCGAGATCTCTTGCTGAATCTCTGAAATTCGATTGGTTGATAAAATCTTGGACTGACCAATCACAGATATTTAATTGCCGCAAGCTAACCCAACGTCTGTTCTTTGTATGATCTTAAATGTCGCATTATTACAAAAAGGATTATGCATGGTTGCTTTTATGCAAGAATTCCAATAAAAAGTTCTATGTACATGTAAAACTTTGATAAATTATGATTATTGTTACTTATAATCGATCTATTAAGATTACATTTCGATGTAACAAAATACATAATTATCGATAAAAATGTTATCTTCTAAAAAGGAAAAAAAACGGAACACGATAAAATTACAAATGCTATTTCAAAATGTCCGAACTCAATTAACTTTACTATCAAGCGTTATCAATCTGTGAAATTAACGGAAAAATATATCCACGAACAATTTGTACTTGCAACTTTGTCGATAATTTTTAACTCTTTTTACTTATTTCTCAGCAATCTTTCTAAAGCTGAAATATGTATGAATTCATTTAAAAGCTCTACCAGAGTCTATTTATTTCAGTTCAACAATATGTATCTACTAGCACTATATCTACACATGCAAAATGTATTTTAACACATTTTTTGGGTGTTCAAGCAGTAACTAGCATTTTGAAATACACGAACATGGCGTAAAAATATTCAGTAACTCCATTTGTATACATTCCAATGGACATATATCTAATTTTCTTTTAGAGTTGCATCATACATTTATAACAATGTAGTCATCATATTCACGACCTTAATCTAACTGACAATACTTTGTATAACAGAGGAAATGACACTATACAGACTAGATAATAATTGTATAAATAATACTAAATCCTGTAAATGTTTAGGAACATATATACGAGGTCATTTAATGAACATATTCTATAAAGAATATACGTATTCCACTATAGTGAAAATGTACAAAAACTTCGCTCTATACAAAATCTATCGCTCTAAACTATTCAGCTTCAAATCCTGATTAAATTGAAATATATTTTTAAATATACTAAATTTCTGAACAATCAACAGGCTTGAAATTTATTTATGAATCCAATTTGATGGTATAAGTTAAACAAAAATATATAGAAAAAAAATATTGGAGAAGATAAAAAAAGCAATAGAAAACTTTGATGTCGTATTCAAGCAAATAAAAAATAAACAAATACTTTTTCAGCTTTGGAACGAATAGTACTCGAAGTGTATGAAATGGTATGAAAAATGAAATTATTAGTCTCGTTGAAAAACAATTTTCGTATAATTCATGGATGCAAAGTATTTTTATACCTTTTTCATTTTTGAACGAATATCACCCAATGCTTGTTTGTCTCGAAAATATGAGTTAAAAATTTAAACTTATTTATGTATTCAATTATAAAGAATAATTAATTAAAACTTCAGCTCGTGTAAAGATAACTTTTATTATTAATTATGAATTTATTTTTAATCATATATTTTTATATTATCGTTTCGAAACCGGATGCCGGATGTTATATTGTTGCGTTTTAGAATTATTTTGTACTTAAATTAGCGGCATTTGTATTTTTTCTTTCCAAAAAAAAATCTTTAAGGAGGTATATTGCAAAATGTAAGATAAAATTTTAAAAAATGTGAATTCCTTTCATTTTAAACTAAAATACCCGTTTTTTATTTAATATTCAGGACGACATAATTATCCTTTGCAACGTTTTGATCGTAACATGTAAACTAAGAAACAAATTAAATACAAACTGGTTCTTTGCAAGTAAATAAAACAATTGACATAATATAAAAAATATAAATAAAATTGTGTAATGATAGCGAAGCACAAAATATAAAGCGTAGCAACTAGCAGCAGTGAGAAGGAAGCGTATTATAACATAGAGGCATGCACACACAGTTAAAAGAGGGCACATATATACCTGTAGGACCAGGCTACATCCCGCGTGAAACCGGCCGAGGTTAACAGAATGTACGCGAAACTAAAACCAGCAGATATTCCGATCACCAGTGTTAGAACGAAACGCCGCCCCATCCGGCCGTCCTGCACAGGGTACATTTCTACCGAATTACCCCAAACAGTGTGTTCTCGAGAATCTATTCCTCGCCCTTCGCTCCCTACAGTTCGGGTAAAATATCACGAACAATTCTCACATATGGCAACACCAGTGCGCTCTCGCAAAGTAACACAATGCGTCTGAACACATGAAGTTACATTAAATGTTTTTTATCAGTTATCAGTCAGCGAGTATCGTATAAGTTATGAGTTTTTATCTGCACAACAATTATTTTGGAAACAATTTATATTGGCCGTATCGATTTTATGATATCTATTTGTCTGGAACTAAGTACGTCACTCGGACTAATGAATACAAATTTGCTTTCGTTAACGATTCAAAATTAGGTCTCGTTTATGTGAAGACTATACAAACAGAATCACATGTAATAATGTAAATAAAATACTGAAATGTATGAACAGTTGTTCTGAAGACTATTTATATAAAAATATTGTCTATATATTATTAGTTCGATGTTTGTAGTACAATTATTACTATATTAGCATGAAGATAACTAGTTTATGATCGCGACTTCGTCTGCATGAACTCCGGTATTGGGCTCAGAGGAATTTATAGGGACATCTATAGTCAGTGCCATGTGACTAAACCCAAAATACAAGAGCATCATTATTTATAGGATAAATTATAGCCTATGTTTCATTCTAATATCTGAGCTAAATTACTGTAAATTTTCATCAGAATTTATTGAGTAGCTTTTGCGTTATAGAACAACAAACAGACATTCATTCTCACAAACTTTCGCGCTTAAAATATAAGTAGGATTTCTATATGCAGTATAATCAGACTTTTTTATTTTTTTTGTCGAAGAAATTTAACCTGAACTTTATATTCTCTTACACACAAACTGAAGATAAGAATTTTTGTTTCTACATCACAGATATAAAACCTGAGTTATCAAACGCGCTTTAAAAGTTACAGAGTAAGGAGGCAATTACAATTACGGATTCGTAAAACCATGATACGATAAGGCTTTCGGTTAAGTTCCTGTATTAATTAAAACTAAACAATTAAACGCTTAAAAGATTATTAAAGTTATCGCAATATAATTAAACGACACTTTTCATGGGCTTTGGAATCAGACAAAATTTCAATACTATTTTTTTTTTTTGTAATACATCAATTCTTATTTTAATACGTCATCACACTAACAAAAATAATACTAGAAATTTTAAAAATCCCGTTAAATTTATTTTCTTTATTAATGAAATAAACAAAACCAATGCATTAATTTTCTTTAACAAATATACTGAGAAGCGTTAAACGCGCAATCGAGTGACAGCATGTAAAAATGACTTACACATTTGAGAAAAGATTTGATACTTTCATTATATTTTACCGATTATTTTATTCTATTCTAAGACCCACCGCAAAGAATCTGGCTTTCAAATGAAAATAACCGCATCAAAATCGATCATTCCCTTTGAGAGGGATAATACTGCGTATGTGATGCACGCGTGAACGTACACACACGCACGCACACACACATATACACACTCACACTAACATTCACCCACACTCACAAACTTATAACACTGTTTTTGCATTGAAGGTTAAAAATAATTTCAAAAATGTCGTTGTTACTAAGATATTTCTTTTAATTACTATATTTAAATGCCATATATTATGATTTAAAATACGTGACATTACTTTAAATATATGTATTATGTATTCAGTACTGGCATATTGAAACAACTAATTACAAAAACAGATAATGTTTTAGCAACATTTAAGATGGCAATTCAACTTTTACACTATTCTTACACAGATACTAAAAAAATAAGGAATCTGCCAAATTAATTAGACTTTATATTGAAGTATCCCCTGGGGATCTCATATAAAAATAGAAACAAAAATTTTTTCTGAACATGTTTATACCTTTACCTAGATCATAAGGTGAAAAACCAACCAATTTAATCAAACTTAGACATATAATTCATTATGGGTATAAAAAAGATTTCATAGAATACTACATGCCTAAGATGTTTATATAGAACCTTATTAGAAGTATCTGGTTATTGATATATATGATCCAGTATATAAAGAGACGTCACTTTTTAATTATTCACGAGAACACACATGTTACACTTAAATCTGCTAACCACCACCTCTGAAAATGTTAGGCTACATAATTTAGTAAAGCATATTGTTTGTATCTATGTGCATTATTTACAAATATTATAATTTTTGTTGTGACTCGCATGTATGTATGTTATTGATGTTTTGTATTATTGTTTTATATTCAGATGTATTCAATGCATTTAAGATATCTGACTCATTATGTAATACTCACTATGTCCAACTCTCAGTTCAGTAACTATAGTGAGTAGGAACAGTATATTAAGAAGTGGGATGCAATTAGACTTTACTCTTATAGGCAATAAAAAAGTTAGTTTCGCCAATTAGAAATACTTTATAGATGTTTGTAACAAGTTAATTTAAAGTTTCAAAAATATTTTTTTTGTTACAAACAAAATTCTTTCATGTGATTGATAAAACTTTAAGTACATTAAAATTTAAAGCATTTGTTATAATTGAGGATTATTATTCACGTCAAGGAGTTATAATGAACACTATTACAAAGTCACAACATTTAAGTTTTATAATAAAATACACACAATACAAAAAAATACTGTTAAAATAGAAGAGAATTGTGATAACAAGTAATATTATTAGTATCAGGATAATAGACAGTACATATTTTATCAAACGGAAATATATATGTTTATATGGATGTAATTAGTTTCAAAGACTTATACGAAAAATACTCACAGTCATCGTAGATGTTTGTCAAATATAAATTATGATATACGAGTTTTATCTTTATGTATCATCTCCCGGAGCTTAGTTCTTAACATATTAAAGCATAAAAGTCCATAATGAAAATCATCAAATTAAGTAAAAACTTGAACTATGCCCTATATAGGTTGTTTTTTATTGAGATGCCAATGTCAATTAATATAACTGTCAAATTAACAATTTTGTGTCTATGGTAAAATGACAACCGTAAACAAAGGGTATTAGTTAATTTTAAAAATTACAATAATATGTAATAACTAAGGCAGTACTACATACTCATTAAATTGTAACTGTTTTTGATGTTACAAATCAATTAAATTGATGCCTTTTTAATAACCCACAAAAGTTTAATTTTAAGACAACATTTTTCCCTACTACAATAGAATACGTAGATCCCAGATATTTTAATGGCCCATAATATATTAGTTAAACGGTTTGATCAAGGTAAATTAAGAATTTTTCTCACCTTCTAGTTTAAGACATATAAAAAATAAATAAAAAGTTCACGCGATTAACATTTTTTGATCAACAATCGCAGCCCGACTTCCAGCCATATTGTTTTTGTATCTAGACAAGCAAAGTAAAATGGTCGCTGTATCGTAAACAACACTATTGCGTTGTTCAAACATTATTTATTTTAAAGCCTGTTATATACTTCAAACTCGTATAATATGTGTTAGTTACTGATATGGAAGTGTTTATTTTTGTGTAGTTCGGTAGATTATTGAGCCAGGATGGAGGGGCGGCTTGTATTATGTTTTATGTTATGTTTTTTGTTACAATTTGTTTCTGGACGAAATCGGCTTTGCCACAATAATACTCACATAACACGTAGTTGTACAACACAGGTAAATAAGTATTATAGTTGTTGAATAGAAAAAGGAAGGGTTTATTGATTTTTTACCGATACGACCTTGAATTAGTAGGGTTGCTAGCCAGGCGTATCAATTGCTATCTCTTTGAAACCTGAGTATGAGTCATTTCTAATATTGCTTACATTTTGAATTTTTATGAAAAGCTTTGTATACAAAATTAAACCGAACACTTTTGATATTAACTTTCTTACCATCGTCTTTTATAAAAAGTGTTTGAGTTTATAAAAATTAGAAAAATATACAACATTTTCTTCCACCAGCTTCCGAAAGAAGTTGTCGAAAGATGTTTTGATATTTTAACAGTTAAATAAAATTCACAACTATCTCAGCAAAGTATTACTTACAATGATTCTATAGCAGATTAAAACCCTTAAATGTGAATATTTATGTGTACAAGTAATATATTTGTAAAACTTAAACATTGTTGTCAGATCCTCGGTGATGAATATGTGGATGACGATTCATGCAAAGTAGAGTACATTCCGTCAAACAGCTCCAAATGTACAGACAACTTTGGTCCTATAACATCAAACAACCAAATCGGCCAAGTGATACTAAAACCTTACATCTTGCATGAGAGGCGAAGGGATGTGAATTTCTACTCTGTCAATTATACCGTCTTGAATATATCATTCACTAACATAAAATGGAAAAGTAAGTTGATATTTCTATTTCTAACTTCATTTGATTTTTAATATTAAAACAACATTGGGTTTTACCGAAACATGTTATTATGCAATATGTATTTAAAAATCATTCCCATCCCCACATGCTACTTTCACTGTAATTTGTGTAAATTGTGAATATTACATAAGCATATTTCAATTATCTGTTTGTTAATATGTAAATGCATTACTGTTGTAATTTGTCTAATAGTTGTATGAAAAAAATAATTTAAGATGAAATTATATCTATTTAAATATTCAATTGAATTATTCTGATATGTAAATGAAATTTGGACTCTTAAAATTATAAAAATAAATTGGTGTTTTCTATTTGTTATTGAGTATAAACATTCATACATATTAAATAAATTACTGCTTTCATTCATTGTGTTTCTACTATAGTTAATATACTTTAAAAAAAATAAGATATTATAGAAGATAAAATTAAATGAAAATTATCATATTAATTTATAATTTTACTTCTTTGTATCGGAATACAAATTGAATTGCTTGAAGAATTGTTTGTAATAAACCATGTTAATTTTTATAGCCATGAAGTTCCGATTCCAAAAAGATTCAGTCAAGTACGAGGAGGGTCACTGCAGGAATATCGTGATATCAAACGATGTGAAAATCAATGACCAATCAGTCTTATATTATGACTGTTACTGGTCCGTTACTAACGGAAACTATAAAGGGCAGAGCCACGTCTTAGACTTCGAAGCCACAGATGATTATGTGGTTAACAGAGGGAAATTTTACTTTAACATACCCACCGCTGCAATGCTAGGTGAGGAAATTACTTTCCATACATTTAATATATAGTGGGGGATAGTGCAAATCCCCGTAACTATCATTTGATAATTCCTAGCATCTATATTGGAAGCAGATTATCAGAAGAAAGTTTGAGCTGAAATATTTTCTATATTAACGACTTTTTAGTTAATTTTATCGCAATTAGTAATTATTTAGCTAAATTATCACTAATTGCGAAAAATAATTACTAATTGTGAAAAAAATACCTTAAAAGTAGTTAATATAGAACATATTACAGCTTAAACTTTCTTCTGATAATCTGATTCCAATGTAGATACGCGGAATTATCCAATGCTAGTTACGAGGATTTTGACTATCCCCGACGATATGAATGTTTTTGTTTATTATATTTTATTTATGTTTGAATATTTCAGATCCAGAAATCACAGAAAGAGATTGGAAACCGTTTGTATACATTGAAAATTTAAGTGACTCTATGAAACTACATATAATGCCGCCTCCAAATCAGCTCAAGATAACTGCCTACCAGATAGAAGTTATAAAGAAATGTGACAAAGGCACACAGTGTGATGAAATTGTCAAGAATGCTTTGATAAAAGCTAAAAACAACACCCAAGAGGTTACATATGACTACAGTTTGTTGGTCAGCACGGGATTATACTATTTTGTGGTGACACCCATACATGATAAATGTAGGAACGGTATAATGGAATGTCAGTCAGTTGAGAGTCCGAGGATTTTTATTGGTGAGAATTGATCTTATTTTCTATATATATAAATTATCTATATAAATGAGTAGAATTTGATTGTCTGTCCTGAATATCAAAATCAAAGCATAAAACTTATTTCATGTATGAACTGCCTGGTAATTGGTTACCATATATTTTCTATATACAGTAATACATTCTCTCACAGTAAAATTCTCAATTCCGACATAATGAAGTTGTAGAAAAAACCTAATATTTACATATAATAAAATAATTTGTGTGATAAAACATTATTTCACTATAGACACTTAATACTTGTAATTAATTTTGGATTTTGTGTCTATGTATGTAAGCTACAAATTGCAATACTTCAATATGACATATTTGGTTATTTTTTTTACCTTTGTTTGTATTCTATTTTCAGATAGTGAAGAACATAAAACTCTCAACATATGTATAGCCAGTATAGCGTCCCTTATAGTCGGTACACTGTTCATATACTTCTTTATATTGCTCTGCATTCGAAGATACTGGTGTAAGGAATATGCTCAAGGTATGTTCATCTACTATAATTTTAAATGAGACATGAAGTACATGCTAATTATTACACATTTTTTTATATATATAAAAAATGAGACTCAAGTCATGTTAGTACTAATTAAAAGTATGAATTGATGTTTTTTTTCTAAGGTAGTGGTCTAATATAAATATAGTCACAATAAAGTTAAACATTAAAACATATTTATAGTTTTTTTCTCACGATTCTTCTATAAATTCTAGAGATCCCACCGCCTACTAAGGTGCTCGTGATATATTCACCGACTAACCGCCTGCACGCAGACTGCGTCGCTTCATTCGTGGCCTACCTTCGTTCAGAGTATGGTTTCGACGTGATGTACGACGGAGATATATCAAACACATCCCACGGCGACCCGTTTGTATGGGCGGAGGAGGCTTTCAGGGTTTCCTCTCACGTCATATACGTGGTAGGACCGGCTGAAAATACCAACCTATACAACAATATATACGACAAGCCGATCATAGTACACAAAGATGTTGACGTTCTGCTCTTATCATTACTAAGAACGACCAGAACGTCGAAGAATCCGAAGCAAATCATGAACGTATTCTTCGAACACTCCAACGGTACAGTACCCATAGAAACGAGACATGATAAGAAATTCATACTGTTGAACGACTGGCAGAAATTAATCGCATATCTATCTAAGAACGTTCTGCCTAAGAAGCAGATAATGCGTTCAGAGAAGGGCAAGGACTTCTTGGATGATCTATCACGAGCCAGGAAACTGTTGAACAATCGCAACGATGACGTCATCGTGCGCTGCGACAAAAATAACACTGAAAAGAAAGTACTTCTGTAGTTTAATAGAAGAGTATCTTGGAATTTAATATATGGATCTATGTATGGGTCTATACTATATAGGATTCTTGTACTCCTGACTGAATATGATATTGGAGTGTTGCATATGAATCCAGTATCAGACCGTTGATATAAAATCTCGTTGTATGGAAATGGTTTCCGAATGAAATTCATTTAAAACGTATATTATTTTGTAGTCGAACTTCATATTTCTATGATTAATTAATTTAAAATTTAAGTATTCATAGTGTAGTTATTGTTGGTTAATTAATTTGATTGTTGCATTCCGTAAATGCGTAGAATATTAATAACAATGATTTGTTATATATATTGAAGTAGAAACATTGTCAAGTGTCCATTGAAATATTAAGAAAGCTTCACTATAACACTTTTTTGCTATATATATATTTCTATGTATAATATATAGGCTCACATATTACTACTGCATTTGTGTATTGCAACAATATTATGAAGTTATATCATACAAATATGTTTAAAATATCCGCAGAGCATATCTATTGATGTTTAATATATTTTGTGGTATTATATAATCGTTGTTAAATGTTTCTTAGGTAACTGTTATATGCCGCGTCGATGTCGTGTTTATGAAATTTAATGCTACGAGTCGAGGTACTCTTTAATAATGTTTATTCCGGCGTGGCGTACTATACATTTATTACTTGTATACTTCTAGATTAATGTATTGTTAAGGGATATATTTTTCAAATCACACAATTTTTCCAATTTATATGCTTGCAGGTCCAAATTTTTAAATATCTCTGATGCTTTTGTGAATACTGAAATTACCTTGTAGCTTATGAAACACAAGTTTTGTATTTTTCCACTGATGCGGTTTCAAAGTTTACTCTATATCTATTACACTAGGTGTCACTTAAAATCTTATATATTATATTTTCTTTATATTTGATAAAAGCCATAATTTTAGAGTAAAGACTGGATCTTCTCCATATCGGTGTAGCTTCAATTTGAAAGTTATATGTGTTTTAATGTTTAGATTAATTTCTTGTAACTCAGTGTAACAAATCTAGTGCCATAAGGCGTTTGTATGTATTTATAAATGTTAACGCCGCTTCATTTGATGTTTCAATGTGTTATTACAATATGATTGTATTGTTTCATCTTTCCATATGTATACTACAAGTGAAGCGGCCACTGTCTGTTATACTTACCTATATATAGTTGATCTCAATTCCAAACTGTTGGAGTGAATGTGTTCTATTATACAGGACTTTTAAGCTCAATATACTTTGTGATGTATTTTTGTAAATAAATTCTATAAAATATTGCTTTTTCTTCATTCCGATATTTTCATAATTATTACATGTTCCTATCACAAAAAAATATAAATCCATAGATAATTTATTTATTTATTGCTGATAGCAACACCGAGACAACAGTTAAGGGTCGGTTAATAACAAATGTCAGTATGAAAATAAAAAAAAATGCGTCATTGGTTTATTTATCACCACAGAGTCACAACATCAAAGTAACAACATTTAGATTGTGGAATGCACTTAACATATTACATTACAATATGTAACTGAAACTTAATGAGCTATTAGTATATTATTACCTTCTAAAAACATTTTAAATTTACATCCCATATATTATTTTTAATTTATTCTGATTAACGTCGAGTATGAAATCAAATATAAATCGTATTAAATCATATTTTTTGGAAGTCTAGATTCTAGAATCATCAGTATCGACGATCACTTATCTTGACCCCGCCGGTCATCTTATCTGTAAATTTTATATAAAAAACAATAATAATATACAAAACAAACAATTTTCTTCAAAATAATGAATACTAAATTATTTATTATATTTATTATTAATATTTGGTTAAGCTATCAACAGCTATAATCTGACACCATATTTTAATACATAATAATAACTAAATAATAAAAAATATATATTCACAACAATTTTCATAATTCCCGCCTTATTTTATATACCAAATAAAATAGTGACGAAGAAATGAATAGCGGCAAGTGACACATAATTAAATTATACACCATTAAAAATTAATGTCCAAAACTAATTAGGTGATGTACAGAAACGAGGTTTTCATGATCTGGAACAAAAATTAAATTGTATAAAAATAAATTCATTTATACAAAAAACTTTTATATAATTCTTATGATAGATAAATATTACTGTTTTAAATTTAAATAAAGTGCATTATCAATTTCATTATGTAAACATTTTACGTATATGAAGTAATACAGATTATATAAAAATTATCTCATTGAAAATAAATAAATAAAAACTTCATGGAGGTCAGGAATGTAGTATTTTTTAATGATTCAGTAATTATGGGTATAATTAACAATGCAGTATGTTTTCTTACACAATACATAAAACTTTAACCTCCAGAATAAACAATTTTATGAATCATTACAAATTTTGTTTCAGTTGTTGCTTTTGTATTGCATAGTACAGACCTCTAGAAATGCAAATTGTATGGATTAATTAAAAATAAATCTCATGTATTATTCATACAAGAGTTTTTAACCTTGGTACATACTTTCGGAGTCTTGGGTCATTAAATATAGAAATATGTAGAATAAGTAGATGATTTTACTGTTAAAAAAAATAACAGACTGTTGTATATTCAATCTGTTTTAATGTAAATATAAATACGTTTACATAAAGTGTATGGAACAATGAATTTTAATAACTTACTACTAACAAAATGTTATTACACAGAGAAATTGTAAGTAAATTCAATTTAAAATGTTATTTCATTGAAAGATTTTAATAAAGTGATACAAATAATTTTATTCAGAAACCAATTGTTTTATTTTTTACAGGGACTGGTTGTATGGAATATGTATTAGAGAAAATGTATAATTGAGTTGTAACAAATATGACTCTTTTTATATAGAAGAATCTAAATACTTGATCATATGTATTTATGTATATATATTGACTTAATATTGACAAAAAAATCTAATTATTGTTTTGATCGCACTTAGATTCCATGTCATAAAAGTCACCAATCTTTAATAGCTAGAAAAAATTATGTATATGTATAATTTTTGGCATTAACGACAATATATCTTATATATAGATATATCCTTGTCACTCACATGAAGTATCATACATCTGTCTCACTCACATGATCTCCAAGCTACTGTCGCTGTTCTTGGTGGCCTGTTCCCCCTCGCTGGAGTTTGAACCACCGGACTCTGACCTCTGGCTGCGACTGCGATGCTTCGTCTCAGGGACCTCGGTGGATGTAGCCTCTTCTGATTGTCTCTGCCACGCTGGGATCGATGGCTCGGTGCGTTTGAGAGAAGGAAATTGATTCCTATCAATATATTAATAGACAATACTGTAAATACTTTAGAATTTCCTATGTTAATATTTGGACTTTACTTTTTTTGGCACGTTATCATTGTCATATTACTAAGATAGAAATATTTCAACACCTTAAATGTACACTTATATAGGCATCACGACAACTTACTGGAAATCGGTACAAACTCCTTTCCATAATAAAATCCAGATCTGTGTATTAAACTTTCCGTATTTACTTGGACCAAAAGACTAGAGTCTACATTTAAGCAGCTTGTATTCAATGTCCCAAGGCAAACAAAGTTTACTATCACTCACCTGTTCAATAGAATCCCTTTAACTGATGCTATATCTGCCTTTAAGCTGTCCATCTGTGCTCTAAGCGTATTCTGTTTCACTGACGACTGCATCTCTCCTCGTAATGAGCTGATGCTGGTGTTCATAACGTCTAGAGACTTCCTTAACTCGTCTATACATTCAGCTGTAGTCTTTCTTTTTGTTTCCTCCACGAACAGTAAATGTCTGATGCAGTTCTGTACCAAGAACAAAGATTTCTTGTTATAGTTGCTTGGGTATATTATTACTAGCTTTCCGCCAGCAGCTTCGTCCGCGTGGAGTTCGGTTATATCGCGTTTCCAAGAGAAGAGAACCTTTCAAAAGTCTGGGATAAAACTATCCTATGTTCTTTCTCAAGGTCAACTCTATGTTTGTACAAAATTTCATTAAAATCAGTTCAATGGTTTAAGCGTGAAAGCGTAACAGACAGAGTTACTTTCGCATTTTAATAATATTAGTAGGGATACGTGGTTTAAGGTCTTCAAGACATCAGTAAAAATTACATGTTATGTCAGGAGTCATATGCAAAAGTGCAGTGATTACGAATTTATATTAATGATGTAAAACTATATTTTTTTTTATTTCAACGTTACGATTGCATTGCAATTACCGTGTTCATCGAGAATTGAAGTGCAAGAGTACAGATATAAAATATGTTAATGATAAAAAAAAATAAAAGAAATAAATTATAGGAGTTAAATACAAAAATAGAGTTTTAATTTAAATGCGATAATATTGAACGGTATTTTATTTTGCTGAATGTTTTTTAGCGGTCAAATTAAACTTCGGATAATATTTTTAATGTATGGATTTTTTTTTAACTAAAAAGTGATTATGTATAGATGTAGACATCCAAGTAATATCTCAGACTCCCATAAAATAGGAGTAGTGGTAGAATATGATTTGTAAAATGCTGTTATCATGAACGGAATAATTGTTACAAAAATAGTATACCTACATACTAAGTAGTTTCCTACCCAAATATATGTATATATTTACGTTTAATAGTAATATAATATAATGAACACACAAGAATGAACAGATTCTTTAATATTATAATTTGACTTTTAAGCCATTTTATCAAACACAATCTGCGTTATCGTTCATTGACCTTTGTAACTTTGTTATCACACGAAATTATATAAGGTAATCGTAATATATTGCATAATAAATTTAACTTTAACTACAATACGTAAATGTCATCTATATTGGTTTAATACTAATAGTTATATACACAAGTCACGACCTAGTTTTTTTTCACTAGTGCTTTATTTAAGAGCTTTCTAACACTTAACAAGTATATTAATGCATTCCTAATAAATAAATCGTATGGGGAAAGTAAATCCTTTTATAGCTACAATTGAATCAAATTAATTTTTTTAGCAAGTATTAAGATTCTCACACATATATAAAAAAAAATCATATCCATTACCTTGTTTAACTTTCATTATACATAATTATTAATACAAAAATAAAGTTAATTTATTTCGTGACTTTTGATAATAATAAGAGAAAAATATTTTTAATATATTCCTATAGCTTCAAGGTTTGAATTACATATTACGATTTGATTGTGTTGACAATTTTGGAATAATAGAGGAAATAAAGTTTGGATTAAGTTTAAAAGCACTTGTAAAACAAATTATCATTTGCAATTATGATCTTCACATAGATTTTTCATTTTATAAATTGTAGTGTCAATCTTAGCTATGATATAGGAAAAACAGAGGAAAATGTGCAGTCTTTGAAAACAGTCAAATATATATGGCAACCAATAATAACTTTAGTCATATACCATACATATATTATACATACAAATATGTACACAAACTCAAATATTTTACTAGTACAACAATATTGTTTAATTAGTACATACCTTGTAGAACCAATAGCAGCCATATATAACACCGCCATACACTATGAGAGGTAGAATTCTTTCTCTGAACCACGATCTTCTCGAGTGATTGAACAGCATTAATTCCGATGTCAGCGTAGGTACGTCCAAGAATTCCCCACATTTCTCTATAGCCTTAGCTATTTCAGCGTCAGTCAGGCCTTTAGAACGTAGAAAGCGTTCCTTGCTCTCCATAGTACATCTCTGTACATTCGGATTTGATAGGAACTTGACAGCCGTCGTAACCTGAAACTAGGGAATCAGCTTTATCGCTGTTTGATAACACATGTTTTTAATTTATTACTTTAACCTACATATACATAGATAATGCTATGTGACTGTTAATTTTAAAATTGCGTATTAATAAATAAGATGTAGTGTAAGAAAAAACAGGGACATGACCCATGACAGGGAATATTTATTACCAAAAAATTAATTTACCTTTAAAATTTTAATATAAATATTAATTTAATAGTATTCTTTTTCAGTTTATAGCTATGATTCTAGATTTTTATGAAGAACTTCTTTGGATAATCCCAGAAATAATTATATTTCACCAATTTAACAAAAACTACTTATTGATGCCAAAGAAATTGTCTATTATACATGATAATTAAAGCTATATAATAAAAATGTTTTTAATTCAGAAGCTATTAATTATTATGACCGTTTTTATAAATTTAATATATAACATAAATAGGAAAGATTCTCATATACTTGTATCATAATGGATATTAATAAGATAATAAAAATTTAATTTACATATTTGTGTTTGTCATTACTGTTATTTATTTATTTATGAACCAAAAAGGTAGAAATAGTTACAGTATTGTAAAGGAAATGTGATGCACAAAGATAACTTATCTTTTAAAAGATCTCTACCTTTAGATAGCATGACAAAACAACATACTGATCTACATACTTTTGGTTCAAAATCTACATCAAAACATGTGTCCTTATAATTAATTTTAGTAATCAATATTACATTTCTATTAAAAGTTAGCAATGCAGATCTTTATAGATAAAGTATTTATTGTAATTCATTCATATTAATATCTATGTATAGTTAATAGATAAAAAGTTATAGATAAATTAATAGAGACAAAATATTATTATTATTCAAATATAATATATAATTCAAACAATTATTTAATATCAATACAAAATATATTATGCTAATGAGATTTTCATCTGTATGCTATAGTAACAAAGACTTCTGTTGAATTTGGCACTGTGTACTTATCCTTTTGAATTTAATTAATCTATAAGAAAACGCCAATAACTAAAAGAGAGAGAGGGAGAATTGAAGAATGAAATGTGACATGTAAACATAGTTTGTTTTTAACTTGTTAAAGATATATTTAGGTTTATTGTTGCATACCAGAAATTTCTGTGTATTATTTTATTAGTTGTCATATTTATAAACTGAATACAGAGCACCATTATATTTTTTTTATAATTTAATTGATATTTAAGTACGAAGGTCATTTAACATTTGTTTGTTTTTTTATTTTATACATGGACAAAGGGAATAGCCATAATTCTCAAGACATGATTATACACCAATAAAGAACTAATAAAGGCTCCTTAGATTAATTATTAAAATAAGACAATCACCAAATTCTCGCGGATTTCAGCTGTAGAGGGTCCTAAGATGTCTGAAGTCATTTTTTATTTATTTTATAATTCTAGGGGTATATACAGATTATATGACACTTCACACAAAACTACACAAATAATTACACCACCATAAATTTGTGCTATCACAAGTTTTTTACATAACAATTAAATGATTACAAAATATTGAAAAAGACACACAAGTCATAAAATAAGGTGACATTGAAATATTGACTAATACACTCAATCAGAATTCGGAATCTAAATGTCAAAATTGAAGCGTGCTTTACATATCTCTCTACATACCATAGTCTTTTCGGATATATTGTGACACCAAATAAATATAAAATTTATGCTTCTCATTTTTTTAAATATTTTTTTTTTATTTTTAAATGAAAATACTGAATTTTTTCATAACAATTTGATTCTCTTAAATGTCGGCAAACTTCAACTTACAAAATTGAAAATGCAGAATAAAAGATTTGGTAATTATATTTTGTTTATGCAAAATAAAAAGTATATCAAATAAAAAGATAAGAATTTTATAAAATTATTGTTCTCTAAAAAATATATAAATAATTTACCGCTACGCTACTGAGCTCCATTTACCATTTAGTCATAACTGTAGGGCCCGGATTAATATGTAAATACATATTTTTAATTTACGCGATTTTCGATTGAGAATGTGCTTTCTACATGGATTGTCATATTTACACTGTGAGAAACCAACTTTTATTTTCCATATTTTACCATATTTCAAAGTTAAGTCCATATTTTACAAGAAAATGTCACAATCATCCATATATTCACAAAAATACATACAATTTACGTTCCCGCCACTAATGTTTTGGATAAAAATGAAGGATTTAATACGCTAAAAAAAATGAAAAAAAATCTGTGAGGAAGTTTCGAGGGCTGTAGACATGGCTTACACGATTACTGAATTAAGCATGTTTAAGTATGCACCCATAACGTCACGTGACGTGGAGAGATCATTCAGCAGATATAAGGCTATATATTTCAACCAAATAAAAATATATTTCAACCAAATGGTCAGTCTTCATTTTGATAATTTAAAGAAGCACGTCATTGTGTATTGCAATTTGATAAGGCTAGTGTAATGGAAGTTGAATGAAACTGTTATTTTTTGTTGAAATAAATATTTCGCAATTTTTTTCAAAGTTTTTTAAATGTAACTTAACGATGTATGTCACGAGTGACCCTTTTCTTATAGTAAAACAATGTTTAATTATGAAACTATTTTATTTTATACTCCATATTTTTTCCTTATTTTTAATTTTTCTTCCATATTTTATGTACATATTTTAGATTTTTTAATACATATTTTTCCTAGTCAGAAGGATTAAAAAAATATAACTATAGCTGTCAAATGAGACTGACAAATGACAAACAGATGTCGTTGTTAACATATAATAGGTATTGTTTACTGAGATGTGACATGGTTTGGTACATTCGTTAAAATGAAATAAAATATTATAAAACTAAAGATGAGTGATTTCGCTAACGCAACGGAGGCGGCGTCTCTGGCTGTGCAGTTTGATCAAACAGGCCAGACAGATAAGGCAGGAGAATGTTATAGGACTGCTGCAAGATTGTTGGATCGTGTGTGTAATCAAGTGTCCCCAGAGAAGCAAATAGAATTCCGTCGTAAAGTAAGGGAATACTTAGAGCGGGCCACTCGCCTGCAGGAGCAGAAAGGTTGGTTAAAACTTGTACACTCTTGTATTCGTAAATGGAAGTCATTCTCATTCCTTACAAGTTACAGGTAGGACAAATCGAGTTTTTATGACTCATAGCAAAAAATCATAGTGTAGTTAGTTCTTATATGAAATAAACATTTGTTGTCAACAGACACAACTAATATTTTATACATATCTGTAGTGATATAGTATTTACAATAACATGTTTTTAATTACTAAATTAATTAAGTGCAATTCGTAATTTACGACTTCCTGGTAAAATCATAGCATGAATAAAATGATTTATTAAATATTTGTAGTATAATACGATTTCTAACTTTTACTTACTATAAAATATGTTTAAAATAGATGGAGCTCAACAAGAGGAAAGTGTAAGAAACCTACAAAAATGTTATTTTCTAATGCAGCAAGCATTAGATGCAGATGAGGCCAGTTTGAAGGATTTAGCTCTGCAATTATATACACAGGCAGTAGAGTTGGCTGTTAGTGTTGTAAGTACATACAAGTGTTTAAAGATTTCATATTGTAATTGGAATGATGTTGAGATTCACTTTCTCATCTCATCTGTTCGTGATTACAGTGGCTGCAAAGTAACCAAAATGCCAGAAGTATGTTGCATAACATAATACAAACACATAGTATATCTGAAAATATTAGATTTAGTTAAAGGAATACTTGTGAAAGTCTTAGATCTCATTATTCACAATAATGTTGTTTATAAAACATTTTCTTAAGGTTCTAAGTTAATCTATGTTTTGTTCTTATTGTAAAGTTGAAGAGTTTATTTAGTGGATACAACTATCTAACTTGTGGTTCTACTTGAAAAATTATTTGAAATTTTGACTAAAGTTGTTGATAAAAATTAAACTATTATTAGATATTATATTCAAAATAATTTTATTTTTTTATTTTATAATTGTTATTTATATAATTATGTTCAATTCTCTAAAAGCAAAATCTAAAAGCAAAAATATATAGTAGGAATTTATTAGAAAATTCTACTGATTATTTCATATTAAAACATTCTTTTAAATTTTTCAATGATTTTATATGGACGAAAAGTAGTATTAAGTAATCTTTTCTTTGTATCACAGAAATCAAGTGACCCTGATGTAATGACAAAGGTGAAAGGTTTAGCAGCACAAGCACTGGATAGAGCCGAGGAGATTAAAGGCATCAAGAACATGGGGGCTTTGTCGATAGTACCTGGTAGAGCATCAGGTTGGTTGAAGATATAAATATATTATATGGTATAAATGCAACTAATATTTTCGGATTTTACTTCGCGTTTTATTTTTGATTAGAAACTATATAGGTAGATGTTAGTCCTCGTCTGCCCGTTATCACGGTTGCTGAAAAGTAGCTGAAACGTCGGGAGTATGTAGTTTCTAATCAAAAATAAAACGCGAAGTAAAATCCGAAAATATTAGTTTCATTTAAATGAGTCCTCACGAAAATTTTATATCTCGTTATATTATATGGTAATATATAAACTATGAAAGTATTGAAACATATATTAAACCTTAAACAATTCCCTCAAGGATATAATAGATATTGGGGTTCTTAAGCTTTTGTTCTTTCTTTTTTTTATGTATAATTTTTTTGCCTTAATGCCGGGAATTTTTGACTATTTCTCCATTTGATTATTGTGAGTGGCATATATTTGTGACAGGTTTACATTTAATAGCTATTATACATAGTTTGTGTATGAATTTTTAAAATTTGAGTACTTTTTCTACATTTTTATGAATACTGAAATTATAGGTCATTTGATTTCCGATATGAAAAAAATTGCTATACTCTATGGTAGTAAATGAATAATATAAAACATACCTTTAAAGCATAGATTAAAATATTATGATAAATTTTTAAGGAGTATCTCCAAATCGTGTTCATCTCCAACGAGAACAGAGCGTCCATTTAAAAGTGAGTGGAAAACAAGTTTACACAGAAGAGGAAAAGGAAGTACTGCGAGCTACATCCAACATAAACAACAACTGTTTCCTTCCATTCATGGAGGTGGATTTATCAGAAAAATTCCAATATGCATTGCCGTTTGAGGACAGAGCCAGTGAATTGAAGTTGTCTTCAAAACAGGCTAAGGAGTTCCAGTGTTGGGTTCGACCTCATGAAGTGTCGAGTGATCCGAAAATGATAGCCGGTGATGATGTTGATTTCTTCAGCATCAAACAGACTGTTAGTTAATTATTAAGTTTTTCATTTATCAATACTATAAATATATTTATTTTCTTGCAAATCAAATTTTAAGAGGCCTAGCTTTGCAGAAATAACTAATAGGGTAGTATGTGATGTCACAGTCACATGACCATTATCGTGACATTATCATCATTATCACAATAACTTTTACATTTCCTTTGCTAAATAAACGTAATTATTTTCCTACAGATAGTATCAGATTGTTCTTTCGTCGCGTCGTTAGCCGTTAGTGCCTTGTACGAGAGGAGGTTCAATAAGAAGATAATAACCTCAATAATATATCCAAAGAATAAGAACAAACAGCCAGTGTACAATCCATTCGGCAAGTACATGGTTAAATTGCACTTAAATGGTGTTAGGAGAAAGGTGAGTGATATCTCAATATACATTTTACTTGGTCGATATAACTAAAAAATTTTGGTCAAAGACATTTTTTATTGCTTATGGTTTAGAGCCATAGCATTAAATGTATCTAGAATTTTTTGTTGCACTCACAGAGACATATGTATCTATGTGTGTATATATACGTGTATATTTTAAAGATGTTTATGTTAAATTTATTCAACGTAACAAGAAAATTACAGAGAACACAAAACAAACTAATTTTAAGCTATCACGGAAGTATAAAATTTTATATGAGTTTATATAAAATTATCATAGATAAGGTTTCTACTAATTAAATGTTCATAACTATCTTTCCAAATATAATATTACTATAAGAAGGCTTGAAGGGAAGGCCAGACAATTTATTTAGATTTATCCCCACCACGATTTTTAGGTGATATTTTTCAACTACCCACATATGATTTACAACATATTGTACATAAAAATTGATTAATTTTCAGGTCATAATAGATGATCGTCTCCCATACAGCAAGTACGGGCGTCTGTTGTGTTCATATTCCAGCAATAAGAATGAATTCTGGGTGTCGCTTCTAGAAAAGGCTTATATGAAAGTTATGGGAGGTTATGATTTCCCCGGCTCTAATAGCGTAAGTAATATATTTTTTTGTTTTCTTAGCAGTGTTTTTTTATGTCTAATTTGTCATCTTTATATTTCGATAATAATTAAGAAAATTACAGAGAATAAAATTTCTTTTTAAATAACATTAATGTGAAATGAAAGAACAAAATCATTGTATTGAAGATAACCTGATGTCTATTATGGAATACAAATTCTGTCATATGGAAACAATAATCAGATTTTAGACTTTCGCGTGTGTTCATATAAATAAAACATATATTTTCGCATTTTAATTTTCATCTCTACTTATAATTATCGGGAAATGACATCTTAATATAACACACTTCGAAATTATACGATCGATTCTACTGCATCCACGCGCGTTACGAACGAAAATGAGTGCTGATTTCCTCTGACACCTGCTTATATATCTTTCCCCATTCTCCTACTCTTATATATTATAACTAGAAGACCCGGCTAACTTCGTATCGCCCTATAATCAAGAAATATCTGTTACGTTTTTTTTATTTATATTTTTGGAGTTTACCTATTAAAGCCATAAATCTCCGTGTTTTGAAGTGCGACAGAATGATTGACATATTAGTTAGTTGTCATATCTAATGTCAAAAAAACGTGTGTATCAACAACTACTAATAAATTAAAAAAACATTGTCCAGCGGACAAAATTGTGAATCAAATCAAACCATTCCCAGAACCCCTTGATCACACACAAAAAATTTCATCGAAATCGGTGCTGTCGTTTGAGAGAAGTTCAGTGACATACATACTCACAGAAAAATTATATATATAAAGATATAAATTTTGTAAATAGAACATCGATCTCCACGCACTAACCGGTTGGATTCCCGAGCGGTGTGCTATCCGTTCAGAGGCGGACTTCAACGCGGATGGTTTATACGAGACTGTGCGTGCGAGGCTGGAGGCGGGCCACGTGCTTGCTAGTGTGGCCACCGGGGACCTCGACGATCAGCTCGCTGAGAGGACCGGACTCGTCGCCTCGCATGCGTACGCCGTGCTCGACGTGCGGCTCGTTAATGTATGACGTATTAATATAGACATTGAGTGTATTTTTCTTCTTTGTGATTCTAGGTTGTGGTAAGAGATTCTGGACGCCTATTTCTTTGTTTCCACTTACTGGCTAGTTAATGTAGGACTATGACGTATTAACATAGACATAGATTGTACAGCCGTTATAGTATAAAATTAAACCTACCTTCAAATATCTCTCCCGATGTAATCATTCAAATTTCACATCTCTATCTCATATTCACAGGGCGTAAAGCTGTTAAAACTCAAAAACCCGTGGTCCCATCTCCGCTGGCGAGGAAATTACAGCGAGTTGGACACTGTACATTGGACGCCGAGCCTCTGCGCCACGCTCGACTACGACCCGGACAGCGCGGCTCAGTACGACAACGGAGTGTTCTGGATAGATTACGCGAGTATACTGAAGTTCTTTGATGTTTTTTATCTCAATTGGAACCCCGAGCTGTTTAAGTTCACTTATTGCATACATCAGTGAGTATTTTTTGGTTTACTGTCTCGTTATATTCATTTGGCTTTATATTTTTTGTGGATGTGTTTGTATCAAGTCTTCCGTCTATATTTGGGCTTTTTAGACTATCTTCTATCTATTTTTTTTTGTATATATCGGCCCTATATGAATACGGAATGCTAAAAGGCGGATAAGATTATCATCTTATTTGTGACAAGCGAACCTACATTTGATTAGATATTTTTTTGCTGTTTTCTCCCAGATTAGGACAAAAAACTCCGAAAATTTTTATTCTTTTCAGGAAATGGGATGCCGGTAACGGTCCTATCAAAGACGCATATACGATATCAGAGAATCCTCAGTATTCTTTGAAGGTGAACGGCACTGGCGCTGTCTGGTTGTTGCTAACGAGACACATCACTAAGATAGAAGACTTCAGGAACAATCAGGAGTATATAACACTACTGGTTTATAAGAACGGGAAACGAGTGTACTACCCACGTGAGTTTATATCAAATTTAGATTATTTATAGCTTCTATGGATATTACTTATATATCCATATATGGATAATATAATATATAAACCGCCAGTTATTGCGACAAAACTAGGAATAGTGTAAATTAAAAATTGTAATATTGTAAATTAATAATAAATAGCAAATATTTTAAAGTAACTCTTTAATGTTCTTACGTAGTAAACATATTTATTAACATTCTGTTTAAATACTCCTCCGCATTTTCATAGAGGTGTAGAGCTTAAACTTAATTTTCAATATTATTATTCAAATATAATAAAAACGGCATTAATATTAATGAGATCTAAGATTTTCGCGAGTACTCATTTAAATGAAACTAATATTTTTCGGATTTTACTTCGCGTTTTATTTTGGCATGGCATTAATATTAACTTCAAATATATATATAATATATATAGATAAAGAAACGATACGATTTCTTCATCAATTGTGGGTTATAAATGTATACTGAAACATAATAAGAATAATTAATATTAATCCAAAATCAATAAGTCTTTATTTCATTATGAATAGAGCACAATATATGATTTATTACAGACGATCCACCTCCTTATATAGACGGTATACGTATAAATAGTCCCCACTACCTCGTGAAGATAATAGTGGGGGAGAATAGTTCGGATAAATACACGCTGGTGGTGTCCCAATATGAGAAGACACGCACTATATACTATACATTGAGGGCGTATGCCACGTGTCCATTCGCGTTGGCTAAGCTTGAACCATATCCCTATACTAAAACTGTGAGTAATATATATTCTCTGGCAAGTATATTTATTTATAACATTTTTCTCACATAATTTTTAAATGTTCCAGAATGTTTGATTATTTTTTTTTATCTTGAATATGCTAATGCAGTGATTTGGGCCTTGCTCTCAATTAGTAAATGCCTTGGTTAATTGTTTGATTATCGTTAAGATTTATTACCAAGTACAGAATCAAAACATTGTTTTCCAGAGTCTTGTAATTTTTACTTATCCATGTAGATTCACATTTAGTCCTATCTTTTATGCTATACCATTACAAATTATTGGATATCTTAGTTTTTTTCTACCATATTAGCCTATAAAGATTTCTTCCAAAAAAATCTTATATATTTCATTTCACTCTTACAGATCAGAGGCGAATGGTCGGGCAGAACAGCCGGCGGTTGTGAAAACCACAGACAAACGTATCAGAATAACCCAAAATATATAATAACGGTCCCGGAGAGTAGAAACCCATGCCACATGACCATAGAACTGAAAGGACCCAAAGAATATCAGATAGGAGTAGACGCGAGGGTCGAATCTTTGGACGATCCCAATATAACCGCACCTTTCTTAAGAGAATCTTCAGGAGCTTACAGGTCTATTCATATTAATTACTTGAAAAAAATCCAATACAAAATTTAAAATTGATATTCATTAAAATAAAATTTATATAAATAACAATCTTATTATAATTTGATATGCTTTATGTGTGGTGTTACGTAGCAACCAGAGTTTACGGGAAAACTAAGACACTTATATATTATGATAAGAATTACACATTAAAACTTATAACATATACAAGACTACATAATTGCAACGATGTTAGGATAGCAATTCCATTCCATAGCTTGTTTGGTATCAGGAATCTTCTGGTTCACACGGCTTGGTGTTCGTTCCGTAGAGTCAGCAGCGTCACTCGTTATATCATATTTTATTCATACAACCATGTTGCTCTCACGATGTTCATATATTTTTTAATATGTTGCTTGTACGTAACTTATGTTCTTTGATTTCAGATCTGGTTTCGTTGTACTGGAGTTAAATAACTTACCAAGTGGAAGATATTTGTTAACTCCATCTACCTTCTATCCAGGGCAGGAAGGACCATTTTTCCTTGAAATAAGATCTACTTGCAGCATTACAGCCGAGAGGAAGAATGAATGATTGATCAATGAATGAATGAATGAATGGAATAGATAATAAGGTTTATACCGCACAGACATTAGCAGGGTTAAGTTTTTTATATATATAATTTGTAGTTGATATGAAATGTTTTAAATAATTGAGTCCAATGATATGCCTTAATGTTTTTGCATGTTATACGAGAAATAATATATTATGTTAGCAATGTTTAATATTTTATTGACCAATATATGTTAGGAATAAAAAATGTATATCATTTTTGTAGCTCAATATTGGTGTCGCCTTATTGCTTTTTATTTCTTGCTTGTGTTTGACAAAATAGATTCATCCGGACAGACTACTAATGGATACTTATTGAAATATCTGAAAAGTCAAGTAGAAGATGGCATATGTTATTCTAGTACTTGAGGATACGAATTTAATGTATTTATTTTAAGATTTACAAGTTTTTGGATATGAAAAGCAAATCGAAACATGTACACTATTGTTAAGTTTATAATGTGGTGGTATTTCAAGTCCCAGGTTCAAGTCAATGTGTGAGACATGTTAATTATAATATTTTGTTTGCATTAAAGGCTTTCTGTTTAGCTTAGCTTTCGCTTTAACGGCACTGTGATAATATAGATCATATGGAAGGAATATTTTTGTACTAATTTCAATAATGTTTTATATTCACTTATTTGAATGCTATTAAATTGGAATTTTATTTTTATGAGTTGATTAAATATTTTCACCCAGTTTGGTTGTGTTCCTATGTGTGTGTTATTGAAATTTTATTAAGTTTATACACATTTAGAAAAAACTTGAATAACATGCCCTGAGTTTTTATTTAGAAATAAAATAATGCGAGTTTATAAATAATAACTACAATAATATTAGCAATAAAATGTTAATAATCCCTCATAACTTATTAATAAAACACTTTCCTGAAATGACAGTGAGTAAATACAATTAAAATGCTCGAGGCCATCTGAAATACATACACCTCGATGAGTTAAAAAGTTAGAATTTGTTTTATTTTATTTGGAAAAAGGAAGAAAGAAAGATTTATGCGGTTTCAACGAAAACCGCAGATTATGAAGTGAAGTAATCAAGGAAGAAAGAGTTGAACGATATTATTATAAAATCATGGTAATTTTGCAGTTAATTAACTAAAAGTACAAGAATAATGAAATGGACATAGCCGTAACTAGTATTTTCATTACATTGTTACGTCTTTGAAATGAAGTATCTAACTCATAACTTACCTTGTTCAAATAATTATATTCACATAAATCTATGAAAATAGATAGGTATATGTCAAAAAATTAAATAAAATATACAAGTTTTAAGTATTGATAAATAGTAAAATGAAACCGTGGCTCACGTCAAATATCTACTGATTAAAATGTTCGTTTTGTCATGTAGGTTTTATTTGAGACTAGCTTTTGCCGCGGCTTCGTCCGCGTGGAATAGTTACTTCCGACAGATTTTTGGTTCTTCCCACATAGTTCCCGTTCTTGCGGGGTTTTCGGAATGGTCGAGTTCCCGTAGAATTTTCAGGATGAAACCTATGATTTTTTTTAAATAATGAAGTACTCTTAACCAACAACATATTTATTTGTTTATATGAATAAAGATTAATATTATTATTTTGATACAACTTAAACAAATTATTTCGACAAAATTAGGTACCATAAAAAGGGTTTTTGTGAGTTAATCTTAAAAGATAGACATATACTGTCGCAGACTGTTTTTTAGATCATTAAAAGAGCTATTATTCTTTAATACATATTTTTTGAGTATCTTGAACCGTTTTCACGGCGCACGCAACTGAAGGCTTCAAAGATGAAATAATTTCTCCCGTTTTTTACACATTTACCACTATATCTTTGCTCCTATTGGTCGTAGCGTGATGTTATATAGCTCACAGCCTTCCTCAATAACTGGAATATCCAACACAAAAAGAATTATTCAATTCGAACCAGTAGTTTCGGAGATTAGCGCTTTCAAACAAACAAACTCTTCAGCTTTATAATATTAGTATAGATTTTAGTAAATGCATATCACATTGATCCGTAACAGTCATTAGAAGCAAGGAACAAGTATGACGTGAACGATAAGAAAATAAAGTGGCTGTTCTAACAGTATATAACAACAGTTCATATAATGATATTTGGAAGTTGCTATGATATATATAGAACTGTATTGTACTTATTGATGAATAGAAATGTCGCCAATAATGGACCTGAGTACCTGATATTATAAACGTAATCACATTATTATTAAGCATCGATATAAATGACGCCTTATCGTTATAGTAATTTAAAGTAATTGAAACAAAATGAAGGAATATAATGTTTTCAATTCCGCGTTCTGTTTACCGCGCAAATTGAACCACAGATTAATAACAGCGAAAACGGAAATAATTGCAGGAACAATACGACCGCGGCACGGCGATTTAAATCACAAATTGGGTTAAATCAATATTCAATTACACTTATTGTTTAACAGTTATTAATGTGGAACAGGTTTTGTATTATCAAAAGATAGTCTTCTAATATTTGTGTGAATGCAATTCGTGACCTTTTCATGTTTATATATTAATGAAATGTAGAAACGTTTATTTCTTTCTTAAATTAAAATCGTTAAAAAATGCAGAAAACTTTAGTACAAGTACACTTTCATAATTTTAAATTCTTGTTTGAAAAAGGTTTTCAAAACAAGACAAACTGACAAAAAAGGTTATTTAGAAAAAATAAAAAAAAGTCAAGATTAGGCTGCCGAGATTAACCACCCGTTTCACCTAGAAAAGTAAAAAATGCAAATTCAAAAACATGTTCCATTTTTACACACTGTTTGGTTTTGAGCAGAAACGATAATAATTAAAATTTGTGAAATGTATGTGTTAATTGCTAAATTGCCTTACCTTCATATAACATCTTTTAGTCTCGTTTTTTTGTAAGTGTGAATCTTTTCTTAATTGATGTTATTTTAATAAAAGGTTGTTGGTTCAACCCAAGACCCAAAATAAATCATATGTAAAGATTGATGGATCAATTGATCTACCGTATCTCCCAGAAGAGCAATTATATTGAGGAATAATTTTTAACCGTTATTAATTGATTACGGCATTTTCTTTAGAACATAAATTTGGCCTTCTGAGGCATTAATAATATGTTAGATGATATCAATACCCAATAACTTCGTCATAACAAGTAATAATGCGTTACAATAGCTAGAAGCTTTTAAATTACTAAAACGACTTCCAAGGAAAAGAGATTTAGACAAGGTTTGAGAACAAATGTGATTGAGTAACAAAACTGAATTAAATATGAAAAAATATCTTAGTTTTCATAGCATTCCTACGACATTAAATAAGAGAGAAAAATGTAAATACAGTTGAAATTTCAAAGAAATATGGAGTGACTTTGTATAACAAATGTAAATGAGTATGATGATGAGTCTCTGTATAAAGTTGGAATATTGTCGTTTATGGAGTTGTTAAAGACATTTTAATGTCTAACGAAGACGTCGTTTGTGCTAAGCTGTTACCACTATATATTAAAGGTCATAAATACATCAATTTTAACACTGAACAAGGTCAAACTGACATCTTCTATCTTTAAAGCTAGTTGTCTTTACGATACTTTTTTGACATTTTCCTCGTAATTAAATAGCGTCGCGACTAAATGACTCCTTTCATTCAACGTCCGACACAAGCCAGACAGTGCGCTACAGAAATATGAATTGCAAATGGAGTTTAAGCCGCTATTCTGTTCAAATTAGTGTTTTAGTAATGTTAATATAGTAACCGAATGGTCCAATAGTTATTGTGTAATGATGAGATATCATGACAAGTTGAAATACGATCACTGAGCGAGGCTAATCGGGACGCATTTTGTATATTTTGCTCATACCGTATTTATTTGGAAATGAATATTAGTAAATATATTTTAGGTATAGCTTTTATATTTTTTTGGTTGTATGTTTTTATAATTGAGTATTTGATATGAAAAATGTCGTTGTTTCATTTTCTATGTATTATATTGTATTTAATTATTTATAACTTTTAAGCTATAGCTCCTAATGAGTGTACCGACAAATAAAATAATCATATAATTAGGATGTATTAAGTTGTACATTAAAAAAAAGGAAATTTCATCAAATAGTTTATTCGTATCAGAGAAAACAGCGTATATAATATATAATCACTTCATCCCGATATATATAAATAATAATAATTAAAGACTAATGATGATACTGAGCGGAGTAGACATGGTGGTTGGGTCCGGAGTTCTGAACTATCGCGTTGAAACTGAAAATGAAATTAACAAAATTATTATAAACAACAGTTCCATAATATTGTTATGTAAAGACTCGTTCTATAAGGGAAGGACTCAGAGCTCAGGAATGTCATGTTTTATGTTTTGTAGATACTTCTCTAACTGATTACATACCCGTTGTGGTCGTCAGCGGAGTATGACACCTTCCTGAAGGAGCCGTCCGGCTGAAGGAGAGAGTATCCGCCCTTCACTACATCACCGACACGAGCCTCGTGCTGGGACTTGTGATCACCAGTGTGAGGATCTTCAACGGAGTAGGAGTACTGGTACTTGGGCTGAGACTGGAAATTAATACATTCATAAGGACTTGTCAATAAAATAAATAAATGTTTAGTAGCTCAGTGTATCGATGTGGACAATACATACGTAATAATTGTTCATATGTTGATTGTGTCCTTGTGCATAACCTCCGTAGTTGAGGGGCGACGATTGGAATAGAGAAACGGCATTGACTTGGGATGTGGCATGAACAAGAGGACCACGACTGACAGGAGCAGATTGAGCGAAGGGACCAGCACTTGGTACAAGACCTGAGTGTCCTAGAGAACCGATGTTATATGAAAGATTGATATGAGGGGAGTTAAGATGAGATAAAGGACTTGAAGGTCGGGGTGCAAGACCAGAGTAAGCGAGAGGTGAGTTATGGAGAACATGATTAGGAGAAGCTAAAGAACCAGCATAAGATACAGGACTGGCGTATCCCGAGGAAGGTACTTGAGGTACACTGGATGGATTCCAACCTAGATTCACGTGACCACTTGTATATGCCAAGGACCTGGGGTCTAGTGCTGCTGCTTGGTGATATTGTGATACAGGGTGGTTGACATAACCTAAGTTACTGCCTCGTACTACAACCAATGTTGCGCAAACGATGACAATCTGGAAGAAAATATTGATTAAACTATCTTAAGTATATCTTAAAAATTAAGATCATGCTTTAACTTACTTTAGAGAACATTGTTTGTTAATTAAGATATTAACTGACATACTGATCGTAAATGTACTTGACTTTTATAAGAATTCTCAGTAGGAGGTCGGTGGGGCGTCGAGATGTTCTTGGTATTTTACCAAATGTTGCATCTTCAAGGTCATTCTGATACTACTGAATTAACATTTGGCAACGATTGCCTATGAAATGTTTTAAGAAGGACGTGGTGTTACATACATCAAAACAATAGGTATGGATAATTACAAAAATTCCTCTAATTATGATTTAACTCAATTTCATTTTAGTGCTTGATAGTGTATATGAGTATCAACAAAAGCATTTATTTCATAAAGGACAGTATTTCTTTGAACAGTTAGGTATTTTCACTTATGCGTGACAATATTTATTCAGATCTCTTCATTCCAATTGACAAACGACTAACAGACATCCTTCAATTCATAGATTCTCATAATAATAATTACACTTAAAACATGCAATATATGATAACTTTTTATTATGACTTATTGTAAAACACCTTTAAAATTTTATTTTTATTTTTATTAAAATTAAAATGTTTGTCTCTTTTCTTATGATTAAAAAAGATTATAAAACATATTGATTGATTGAAGAATCTTCTCAATTGTAAAAGTTATTCGAAAAGGATTTATTTTGTCCCCATTGATTAACGATATTTTAAAGCGGCCTGGTAATAATCGGACTATCTATTAAAGTATCGACAGCTAAAGTTAGTAAAATAATTTCACCAAACAAAAAGAAGCTAGTATTACAAGTCCAGACTGTATTTAACGTTACAAGAAAATAATTGCAAGATTCTTATGCAATTTTTGTAATAATGATAATAATTCATTAAGGAAGTGTCGTATATTTATAATCCATAGAAATAAATAAAATTGGAATTTCTGTGCGTAATATTGAAATAACCGTTTTTTACTACATGTATCTGAATATGTATGAGGTACATACACCAAAATATTTTTTTTTACAATTTTTTGTGTCTGTCTGTCTGTCTGTCTATCTCTTTGATCCGAATAATGTTAAAATGGCTGGACCGATTGTGACGGGACTTTTACTAGAAGGTAGCTAATGTAATAAGGAGTAACTTAAGCTACTGTTTTCCCGATCCCGAAATTAAATTTTAATACTCCCGAGTGAGATTCAGGACGCATGCGGCGCTTAAAAGGTTTTTCATTGTTTATTTTTCTTAATTTTACGCAGACGAAGTCGCGGGTAACAGCTAGTAATATATAAAGTCAAAGTGTAAGGATAACCAATGAATGTTACTCGGTCTCATCTGAAACTTGAGAGAGCAAAACCAATAAAACAAATAAATACATAAAAAATAAGTGATTCATTTGTTAGCGGGATATAGCCTACATATATTGAGCTTGATATTGAAATATTAATATGTAAAACAAAACTATGAACAAATTCTGATAATAGCTACAAATGAACTCCTGTCGGCCTCTTTTGTAATGTAGTAGTTCGTCATAGACCATAAACTGTGAGTTAATATCATCATCATTATTATCTACGTTCATTAAGAGCAATGTTATTATCTATTTATATATGAATATTTACATATAATTTTTTGAATTTGTAGTATTAATTTTTTTGATGGAAATAAATTGTATAACGCATTATATTCAAAATGTTGGTATTTCATGATGACTTACAGCTATGTACCTGAATAATAAGTAATGTGTGAAAGAGAGTGCTTTAAGTATAACTCAAATTATAAAACTCTTTAGAAATATTTGTAATTTAGAAGAAAATAATCAATAGTCTTAATTGTTGTACTGTCTCATTTAACTATAAAAACCTGTACCGCTTTTAAGAAGCGAATTGTTTAGAAAATGTTACGTGATACAATTTCTTTCAAAGATAATTAAATTTTGAACTGCATTATTAACACAATAATGTGTTTAATGTAGTACATGGATCGTATAGATAAGACCCCATTACAGATGACCTTGCAGACTCTTCAATGTACCAAGAACATCTCGACGCCCCACCGACCTCCTACTGGGAATTCTTATAAAAGTCAAGTACATTCACGATCAGTATGTCAGTTAACATCACAATTAACAAACAATGTTCTCTAAAGTAAGTTAAACCGTGATCTTCATTTTTAAGATATAGTTCAAAGTTTATTCAATATTTTCTTCCAGGTTGTCATCGTTTGTGCAACATTGGTTGTAGTACGAGGCGGTAACTTAGGTTATGTCAACCAGCCTGTATCACAATATAACCAAGCAGCAACACTAGGCCCCAGGTCCTTGGCATATACAAATAGTCATGTGAATCTAGGTTGGAATCCATCGGGTGCACCTCAACTGCCTTACTCGGGATACGTCAGTCCTGTATCTTACGCTGGTTCTTTAGCTTCTCCTAATCATGTTCTTCATAACTCACCCCTGCCCTACTCTGGTCTTGCACCCCGACCTTCAAGTCCTTTATCTCATCTTAACTCCCCTCATATCAATCTTTCATATAACATCGGTTCTCTAGGACACTCAGGTCTTGTACCAAGTGCTGGTCCCTTCGCTCAATCTGCTCCTGTCAGTCGTGGTCCTCTTGTTCATGCCACATCCCAAGTCAATGCCGTTTCTCTATTCCAATCGTCGCCCCTCAACTACGGAGGTTATGCACAAGGACACAATCAACATATGAACAATTATTACGTATGTATTGTCCTTATCGATACACTGAGCTCCTAAACATTTATTCATTTTATGGACAAGTCCTTATGAATGTATTAATTTCCAGTCTCATCCCAAGTACCAGTACTCCTACTCCGTTGAAGATCCTCACACTGGTGATCACAAGTCCCAGCACGAGGCTCGTGTCGGTGATGTAGTGAAGGGTGGATACTCTCTCCTTCAGCCGGACGGCTCCTTCAGGAAGGTGTCATACTCCGCGGATGACCACAACGGGTATGTAATCAGTTAAAGAAGAATATATATCTACAAAACATTAAACATGACGTTCCTCAGCTTTGAGTCCTACTGTTCTAGAAGGAGTCTTTACATAACAATATTATGGAACTGTTCTTTATAATAATTTTGTTAATTTTATTTTCAGTTTCAACGCGATAGTCCAGAACTCCGGACCCAACCACCATGTCTACTCCGCTCAGTATCATCATTAGTCTTTAATTATTATTATTTATATATATCGGGATGAAGTGATTATATATTATATACGCTGTTTTCTCTGATACGAATAAACTATTTGGTGAAAATTAATTCTTTTTTTATCTACAGCTTCAAATATTCCTATATACTGGAGTAATAGGATGATTTTATTTGTAGGTGCTATCATAACGTACTATTACTTAGAAGCAGTGGCTTGCACACCATAGATGCAAAATTAGCACTGCATACCCTACCCATATAACAACTAAACCGATATTGTTTAATTCTTACTTTACATACTTTTAACTATACATTACGAAATACGAATTTTTAGTCATTTAATATGACATTTGATTCACGATTTGCTAATAAGCGCCATCTATCAATGTAAAAACGAAACATTTTCGATTGGCGGCTGCCAACTGCTAGCGCCACTATGCAGCCAGAGCGGCGGTATGCACAACCACTCTCTGCTTATTTTCCATACAAAAAATAAAAATTCTCCAGGACGATGTTTGTATGTGTGTTTGTAAAACTAGCACATGCATAGTGTTGGGGAAGCACTGATTATTTTTATCAATGTTTAAAATATCGTAGAAAGTAGGTACATACGTTAATTGCGTTTTTGAATTATTATTTTTTTGTGATAAATGGAAAGATCATATATAAGATTTATAACAAAACTATTTTTTTTTTGCAATAATTAAAAATTTATTTCAAAATAAAAATTAAATTTTAAATTCAGTACCGAAGATCCGCCGACAGCTCCCGAATAAACCCGAGCGCGTGTGACGTCACAATGTTAGTTTTTACTATATAATAATTGGTACAGTGTTTTGAGTTTTTATCTAGTAAATTCTGTAGGCATTGTTAAATAATCTAAAATGTCAAAACTCAAAAGTTATCGCTCTTGTTTTGTACCATTATGTACAAATACTACAAAAACAACTCCTGAAAAAATGTTTTTAAATGTTCCACAAGACGAAAAACGTCGAAAGAAATGGTTTCTAGAAGTGCACCGAGATTATTCAAAAACAAAATTTTTTTTTGTTGTGAAGATCATTTCGATGTTTCATATTCATAATAATATTGTTATTAATTATTATTTATCTAAGTGTATAAATCGAATAAGTATAGTTCAGTAATTAATTTTTTTACCTGGGCTCCAAATCATAACCTTTAAAATCGTAGCGTTAAAAAATTTTTAATTGATAATTCAAAGCGATTAAATAGTAAATTTATATATATGTTTGTCTAATAATTGGAATTCAATTAATAGATATTTTCATAATTTCATAACATTCTAGGTATATGTTATTTTGGTTTTTTATAATGTTATAATAACATTTTATTAATTCTTATGATAAATGCTTTTATAAATCCTTTATCACACATAGTTAGTCGAAATAAAGTTTTCAAATCGTTTTTCACTAATAAATTTGATATATTTTTATCAAGTCAAAGATAATAGCCATAAAAACTGTACTATTATGAAATTGCTTTAACATTATGACGTCACAAGTATGGCGACCAATCATGGCGCGTTTACAGTCACGTGATTTTGTTTTGAATTTTATCAATTTTTAATTGTTTATAATTAATTAAAAAATTTTTTTTCAAGTTTTTTGCATTAAAAAACAATATAATTAATAATAAAGTTTTAAAATACATAAAAAAAATCAATACTTTTTTTTTCAAAATCCCAATTGTCAAATAAAACGGGACTCTCTGATTGTTCGGTAAACTGTTCATATATTTTTTGCGCCATTTTATTGTTATTGAATATTGTCATTTGTCTTTCTAAGCGCAAGTGAATAAGTTTTAATTAGTAAACAGTGGATTACTTTATTAAAGAATTATGGATAATATAGCTGT